AAATGAATTAAAGAAAAAAGAGAACATAATCAGAAGAAAAAGAAAAATAAGCGAAATGAAAACGATAAAAGTAAAAAAAAAAACAACAACAACATATTGAACATAAAAGGAAACAGAAAATATAATAAAACGTGTATAAAACCAAAAATAGAACGTAAATGTATCGAAAAAATGAACATTTCTTTTTTGTTTGATGTCAGTGCAAAAGCAAAAGCAATGAAACCAATAAAACAAATGTTGAATTTTGTTTGTTATGATATAGATATTGTTTAGAATAATAATATAGTATAATTCTTTCGTCAAAAACCACAACCGAATGCGCATTCAATGATTTTTGACGAAACTTATCGGCTTACGTTATGGCTCCCGCGGTTTGCGTCCTAAAGAAATTCATAACACGAACACATTTGATTCTGTCTGTCTCTCGTTTTGGTTTTGTTGATGATGATGATGATGGTGGTGGTGTTGTCGTCTCTCTTTCGATGAATGTGTGTGTATGTGTTTTGCACACATTGCATTTGCAATGCTCATTATTCTGTGCCGGCAAATGGAATGCATTTTTGATTGGAAAGGGAAATTACACACTCGGAATAAATTGTGTGTAATTAACAGAACGATGAACTATGAATTTGTGTCATGTCAATCGATCGGGTATGATTATATCCGCAGTATCGATTCAAAATCAAAAATACATTTTTCTCTTTCTCTCTCTTTCTATTCCTGTTTCTCGTTCGATTTTTCTTTCCGCAAATTCCTTCCGTTCGTTTATTTATGTTTTTTTTTCTAATTTATGATTTGTGTGTACTTTCCTTTCATTTCTAATTCCACAAATGGAATCATTTCCACTGTAAAATACAGTTTTTTTTGTTAATTTTCCTTATTTCCTGTTTGCCATTTTCTAACATATTAATTTTCCTCGATTTTTACGCCATAAATCATAAAAGAGGATATTATGCATTGAAATGCAAAATTGAACATCGAACAATTCTGTGGTCTTTTTTTTAATTATTATTATCACAATTACTTCACCGAATAGCAAAGAGTATTGCATCGAAAGTAAATTGCAATGCATAATTTCCGGTTTCCCAAAATGTTTAGCATTATATTAACCAATAAATGACTATTTTTCACTCGTATTTCAAGCAAACTGATTATTTGGTTATCCATTTTGTCCGTTTGTTGGCGATCGTGTCTGTTTTATTCACAATTCTCATTGTTCCCATTTGGTCATACTGCGGTATTTATTCGCCTCAACCAATTTAACTCTTACATTTTGTAAATAAGACCAAACAAATTATTGCATTTTTCTTTCATTTTTTTCCTTCTAACATTCCACTCTATTTTAATTGATTTCTTTCTTAACGCTTTTATATACATTCCGTCTGTTTTATTACCCAACATTTTTTTCATTTTCAATTCAACTGCAGACAATTGAACGGAACTTTCTATTTTTCATCTGGTTTGAACAACTTTGAAATATCCAAAAGCAAACTTCTTCTTCTTTTTTTTCTTCTTCTTCGAATAGATAAATATAAATGTGTACGTATTTATTTGGACATTTATTCATTTTGATTGTCAATACATTTTTAGTTTTGAAATTTTAAAAAGCAAAAACAAAAAAGAAATTTGCAATTTTAAACATTCATTGCTATGCTCTTTAAATCAAGTTGATCCATACATCATTTTAAATACATTAAACACATACGCGCATTTGTTAACACTAATCTAAAAAAAACTTTTCTTAGTAAACACGGTTTTTTTTATCCTAAGTACATTCACATAAACACAAACACAGACACAAAGAAACGATTCACACACACACTCACACATTTTCATGTATATGATGATATGTTGGTCTTTCTTTAAAAAAAAGAACAAATTGCGGTTTGGATTTTATATCATTTCTCATCCTACTTTTCGTACACCGAGATATTCACACTCTTGAAAATAGTCCGTCTATTTAGCAACAACTACTATTATTGATAATGATCATGTCGACGAAAATGCGAGATAAAATGAAATACATATGTGATGAAATGACTGTGCCAAAATGCGAATATGTGTGCAGCACTCAATAATGTTGGGAGAAGGGCAATGGAACGATAATCTAAATGACGAATTGGTGTAAATGGAAAATCGTCGATGGATCATTCTTCGATATGATTCAAAAGTATATGGGAGATAATGGACTGACGCTTTAAGGATCGAGATTAAATTGCCGAAAAACGCAATCATCCTCATCGCTATTGTTAAAAAAACCCTATCGGATTACGGATAAAACGTGGTGGCGTGACCGTGTTTGAAATAATGCTGCCGCAGAACAAAAACGATGTTATGGATAAAAGCTTATTCGAAATGGGGAAAAACAAATTGTTGGAATTTGACACTTGGCCGGAAAATAAATGGCACCCCCCATCGAAATGAAAACATGAACAAACAGTAGTAACCCAATTCCACAGATGAAATTCAACTGTATCACATGCACGCACATCAATTTATAACACACTAACATAATAGACAGTTTGTATATCGATTCTGATGGGATTCATACAAATTGCAATCGATTCGAAATTCGTTGTGTAATATAAATTAACCGAAATAACTAACTGCGGCTACTATTTCCCCCATCGTCTTTCATTTTTTATTTTAAAAAAAAACAAACAAATTGACTGTTACACTTCATGCCACACTCTTGTGTTTCACTTCTATTCATTAATTATTTGATTTATGTTGTGCAATTTTCAGTTTGGCTTAGTTTCCAATATCTCTCTGTCTCTGTCTGTCTAATGTGTTTCGTTTCATCATCATCCGTTCGTTGACGTTGTACAAACGGCAACGCGAACGGTTCTTTTATTTTTAGATTCATTTAATATTTTATTTTATTTGCAATTTTTTCTCGTTTTGTTTTCCATTCGTTAATGTTCAAGTCGGAAATTGGAAGAAAAGGATATTGACATGTGAATTGAAACAATTACAAGAACAAAAGCTAAAATAAAAATATTACATATTATTACATACACCGAAAATATAAACAAAAGCAAAAAAAAAGAATGGAATTTACTTTTAAAAAAAGCATGTAGAACGTAAAGAATAAAAAAATTGGAATAATTGAATTTTGAATGATCGAATTCGGAGCCAAGAAATAGTCAGTAAGTGTTCGGCAAAAATCATCGAATTTAATGTAGTTCTCTCTCTCACACACACTTCTTTTTTTAGTTCATTGTGTTCATTTTTTTTCTTCATTGTTGTGTTATGCGATAGCGTCTCTGTCTCTCTGTCGACGGAAAATCATGGATTTGTTTGTGTTCAAATCAAACAAATCAACATGACGCACGTTCGAAGAAGCAAAGAATCGCACACCACGCGCTCAACTGATGATGTGATTGTATGTGTGTTCTCTGTTTCGCTTCCTGTTTCGTATTCAAATAAAAACAAATGTTAATCTAGTTCGTTTTTTTATCGTATCGAAAAAGAAGTTTATTTATTCATTGTCTGTGTGTATTATGTTAGTTCCTCACTTTCTCTCTCTCTATCTTTTATTTCTCTCTCTCTATCTTTGTTCAACCATTTGTTCCTTTTATCTCTCTTTCTATTATTATCGCTATTTATTATTCTAAATTCGAAATGCTATCGAAACGAAGTGAGTGTATCTTTTTTATTCACAGCCCAAGCAGATTGTCATTTAGCATTCAAAGTTCTAAATTCGTATATATCTCACATTGGATTGCAAACAGAATTGTGTCGCATTATTGAATGAGCTTTTTTTAAACTTTTCTGTGGCGAAAGGACCACCACGTGCAATGGCCCATAATGCTGAAACAAAGTGTATTATCTTTTTGAATTATAAAAAAATCCAATTTCGATATTGGTGTTATTACAGCTACTCGTTTAATGGCCTTTTCTTCTGTAAGATCGTGTCCATTCGTTCTGTCCTCTTTTTGATCTCACTCGTTTCAATTTTTTCGATCACGGTTGCTTGATCATTGTTGATTCACCATTGGTTTCTATGCCCTCGAATCAATTTGTTTTTTTTTTCTGAGACAGACTCTCAGTACACCCCCTTCGAACCCCTAGCCCTCTCACACCGGATAGTTGGCGCTTCGAAATGGATTTTGAGTACTAGCATCAAGGCATTCGCGTGAATGCGGCGCAACAACAAAACAAACAATGAATACACACACAATCACACATTTGTATAGAACGTGTTTACAAGCATCTCTTTATTAAATAGTATATATTTAAGAAAGAAACGTTGCCGTCTCTTTTTTTTCGATTTATTTTTTTCTTTTAATTTGTTTGTTAGAGATCACATCATGCATTTTCTTTTCGTTTAGCCAAAAAAAATTTTAAGCTCTGTTCATTTTTGTTTTCTTTCATTTTCGTTTCGTTTCAATTGTCTCGCATTGAGTTTTAGAAGCAAACAAAGACAAACAATCGTTTTTATTTCTTTCTTATTCTTTGTTTCACCGAAATAATGTCGCAAAACGCTAATGAAAACATAAAAACAAGCATAAAGTGCATATATTGTGAAGCTGAAGAGTGAATTTAGTCAGCTGTATGCGAAATTGAAGGGAATTGAATTGTGCACCACTGTTCCTTTTGAATTGAGTAATGGTGAAATTCATCTTAAATTAGCCAATTTTGTTGAACATTCAAATGGCAATTTTACTTACCATTACTGCATTCATGTAGGAGTGTTGTGCAAATCCAAACAATTTCGGATGCTTAACCACCGCATTTAGATATTGTTTTTTTTATGCTTATTGCGAAAATAGAGAACATTTCTTATTGGTTTTGTAAATTTTTCGTTTTTTTATTCTTTATTTCTGTTCTTAAAAACGTTGTTTTAGTTTTCGATTTGTGATTTTGTTTATATTTCTTTTGTTGTAAAACGACTTCACACCAAAAAAAAAAAAAAAAAAATTTAAATAAAAAAAAAAATTGAAAGAATGAAAAGACATTCCATTGATTCGGGAAGATATTGAAATGAATAATTTCAGATGTTGAACAGTTCATACAACCTAAATCGACTCGGAAGTCCAACGGCTGGCGATTTGATAAATACCAGTGTATTTGATGCGGTCGGAGGTAGTGGAAACTATTTTAAACCATCGCCACCATTCAATACGTACGATCCGAATTTAACGTATAATCCAATGAACAGCACGACACTGCCACGTCGTCGATATAGCATCGGAGGACTGCCATCGGCATCAACCACCGAATATTTAAATTTACAACAAACAACCGACGCGCATCTATCGAATCTATTGAACGAGGCAAAAACATCGATAACACGATCATCACAAATTTTAAGCCGTGGCGAAGATTTATCCGGTGACATAATGCTATCGGCAGCGGCCGGCGATGTAATTGCCGATCTATCACATCGTCATCTGATTAACGAATACGATTTAAATGGTGCTATTATCGGTGCAAATATTCTAAATCAAATGCCGATTACATATTCATCACAACCAAATATCTACTATTCGCAACCAAATTATACGAATAGTCATATGTCAACGGACATGTATATGTCACGTTTTAAACGATCGACAGCACCATATGGTAGCATTAGCGGTGGCATTGGCGGTGCTTCAACACTTAACTATACATTGGGTGCCAAATCCCATTTAACCAATCCAATATTAACCGCATACACAAATCCATATTTCAATTCAAATTTAAATACAAATGTGATGAATTATAATGCCAATTGTCATTCATTGCCCTATAATAATTATCAACAATCGTACAATTATCCATTGCATCATCAATCGTCCACGTATAATTCAAAATATAATCAACCACCACCACCGTATACCGCAACCATTCATCATCAACAGCAACAACAACTACAACAACAACCAAACGCCAATCATTATTTTCATCGTCCATTACATTATACATCAAATCCGGTGATATCACAATCATCGAATTATTATTTCAAACATCCACAATATCATCAAATTCATAATAAAATGATAAATCCAAATGCATCGTCGATCGCTCAAACGTCAACATCTGCCTCGTATTTACATCATCAAAATCAACATCCATACAGTGGATACTCGAATCAACACTTTGATCATTTGAATAATAGTAATTGCTACTCGAAACTAGATTTAGTAGATTATACAAAACAGAGCGAACAAACTAAGCGACAAGTAAGTTTCAATATAGACGTAGATACTTTATCAATTACTTCATAAGGATTGCGTGTCTCTCTCTTTCACAACACTCCTTTTTCTTTCGTTTTATTGCTTTTCGACTTATATGAATATTTATATATATATAAATATATATACCACTATATATACACTTATATATATATACAATATATATTTGATGTGTGTAAATTTCAATTAAACATCTTAATATACAGAAAAGACAAAAGAAACTATATATTACAAAAACAAACAATTCAAAAACCACACACGCAAATTTAAATCAATTTGAAAAAAAAAACCAAAGAGAAAACCAATTAAATAAAACATATAGACAAGAATCCAAATGCCAATTAGTTAAACCATGTGGCAACGGAATGAATATAATTATTAAATAGTCTCCCTGTGAAAAAAAAATAACAACAACAACCATATCTATTTATATATGAAACCATTGCATCAACCAGTCTGAACACCTCACTTATCATCAACAATCATAATGAATAACAATAACAATAAATAAATAAAAAAAAATCAACATAAACTACCTATTCATAGCCACATTGTTTGAATTGTCGTAGTGTGTTAGTTTTAAAATAATGAATTGTTTCTTTCTCTCTCTATCTCTTTCTCTCTACATTTTTTTAAACTTCCATTTTTCAATTGTAAAGCATAGGTTAAGGCATTAATCTTCTTTTTTTTTGAAAATTCCATTCATTTTTTCAATTTTAACACATTATTGGCAATTCAATTTATTTAGAATGTTAGACTATTTACTCGTAGTTTGAATTTCATCTTGCATACATAAATATTTAGCGTGTATTCCCTATGTAATTTACTGAAACATAGATTAGTGGTGTCAATTATTTTTACTGAAATAAAACCTCAGCGAATTTCCCACATTTCCGTGTCTCTTCTCATTAATTTATTCGTTGGCCAAGCAGAAGACATTTAAAAAGAAATAAATAATGGACTGGATCGTTTTTGCATTTTTTGAGCTATCAAACTGTACAATGAGTATATGTTGTCATTTGACGTCCCCCTTCAAAAAGACATACTTGTTTTGTGCATATATTTCAATGCCAATTCCTCTCAAAGGTGAAACTTGAAAAACACAATGATTTTAGGTAAAAAAACATTGATATAGTATTAAAAGAGGCATTATCTCTCTGATCTTAAAAAAATAAAAGAAATTGAAAAAAATTGGTCACCTTTGAGATGAAGTCGCCCTCTTATATTGAAAGATATACACAAAACAAGCATGCTATTTTGAAGGGGACATCAAATGACAACATATATTCATTGTACAGCTTGATGGCTTAAAAAATGCAAAAAACGGTCCAGTCTAATAAATAAGCTTCTTCATTCATTTGTTCCAAATTGCAAACGGAAAACAAAACAAAAGTTGAAGCAATTAATACAAATGACATTGTTGATGATGCATCCGATATAAAAAAAACGCATTACATATGCAAATATAATGAGAAAATGTTTATCATACGCCAAATATATACTATTTGTGTTCTTTAAAAAAAAGCTGAAACAAAAAAGCCTTACACGGTTTATACTTAGACAATTGATTTAATTAAAAGCAACATGTGAAATTTAAACAAAGCGATAAAATGATAAATTTTCAATCGGTTTAGATTTTCTTATGACATTAATAAATAATTGTTATTCACATATAAATTAGACGTTAAGAAGTTTAAAAAAAGATCCTTGCATTACATAGAAATTCCATTGACTTATTCCTCTTTTTTTCATTCGGCATTTTGTTCGCCATATTTTATGGAGAGAAGAAAATTTCTTGTCTGCAGCGATAGGAATGTGAATAACAAACACACCGAAATTATGCCCCATAAGAGACTGTATAAAATGCAAAACTGTAGCACTGCTAGCGCCACTACGGACAACTATGAAGTTCTAGTCTGTTGTTTGCAACTGAGCAAAAGTCTTTTCACTATTTGGCGGCAACTTAGTGTAGATTACACTGAATTCCGTCGTGGCGCTAGCAGTGTGACAGTTTGGGCATAATTTCGGTACGATAACAAATGAAAAATATTGAGGAAAGAGAGATATATAAACACCAAATTGACAATTGAACTTATATACTATAATCAATTACAGACATTATATTGAGATATTTTCAGCCAGCTGTATCAGCTCAGGCTGATATCGTGGGCAGCTTAAATGGAGTGAAAACAATAGAAGTGATTATTATGTTTTTTGTAAGAATGGAAGTGTTTTTCTAACTATAACAATCCTAACAATCATTTCCATTGTTGTCGCTACGTTTCAGCGGCTGACATCAGTTCGGCCTGGGCTGATTCATCTGGCTGAAAATATCTCAATATAATGTCTGATCAATTATAACAATTTACAATGAAAATGATGTCTTATGTGTGAGCGTATAAATATTAGATAAATTTCACCAACTGACCTGATACAAATTAATCCATTAAAATTGCTAGAAATATTTGTACCGAACGACGCAATCATGCGTGACTTTGGCCTAACTAGCATACACACACACCATGCAATGTGTTCGTAACACCGATACCACTTTTTAGTGCATTGTTTTACTTTGTAAGGACGTTGACATAAACCAATAATAAATGACAAATATTTGAAACGAATTTGACAATTTAGTAGTCTGCAATGTTTGTCTCTTCATCGAGATATGTTTCCAAATGATATCGGCGAAAAAGTTTTCATGAAAAAAATAAGAAATGAAGTTTTTGCGCGCCAAAATTCAAAAATAAACAAAAATTTCATAAAATGGCAAGTTTTATTGGAAACATGAATTTAAAGTTGAAAACAGACAACCAAATCATCCTTAGAAATGTAGATATTTTCGTAAGATATATTAAAGGATATAGTTTTTTCGATAGATATTTTTATGCTATATTTCAGAATGAAATTTATTCATTAGATGCAATCGAATGAACGATTCGCTATTATTTCTTTTTTTGCGTTTAATTTTTGTTATTGATTCAGCTATTTTGCAATCATTGTCATTTATGCAATATAATATGTCCCAAAATATGAATGAGTTTCCGTGAAAAGTGGATAATTTTTTCGAACAACTTTTAAGATATTAATTCTTTCGATTCGCTTTAAACTCAAATTTACCTGCCGGTCACCAAAAACCACTCTTCCTCTTTTTACAAAATATAATTGACTTTGGTCAGGACACTCTCTGGATTTATTCCAAGAGTCTCTTTTTTGCGCCTCTATCTATGACGTTAACACCTATGTTGATATATCTAAATTAAATCCATATTCAGTCTTCTTAAATGTTCATTTGTCCTTCACTCTACTTGTGGATAAATGTCCAATTCTATAAATTGAAGTAGAGCTTTGAATTGATTTTTCAAATTATTGTGGTGATCCATTTAAAATTCAGTTTGAAACCTAGTTTGGAGTCCAACTGACCAAAAAAGCAGTGCTAAAAATACACAGAGCACTTAAGTCACGTAATAATGTCACGTAATAATGAGCTGTTCACACTTGTATTTTAGACGAGCACTTCGAGTGAGTTGCGCATCCACTCAAAGTTAGTGAGCAGAGAAATGTCACGAGCTCAATTAAATCAGTAATAATGAATAATGATGTGTGAGTAATTTTGAAGAATAATCACAAGGTATAGCGGGTGAGTTGAAAATTGGTTGATCCCATTATTTGGACTTTTTTTTATTAAAAAATTACTTCGCTACGATTTACACATTTTTGGTGAATTGAATGAAAATTTACTAAAATTTGATGAAACAGCCAAAAACTATTGTATTATAAAGCAACACTTCATGACACGAATTCCATAAGCTCTGGAGCTATAATTTGAATAAAAAAATCAAAAAAAATCAAATTATAGGATCAGTTAAGTTTCAACTCCACGTTTTGGGCCAGCTTATTCTTTTTGCTTCAACATTTTTCCGGGCACGGAACTTTTCAAATAACATCCTTGTCGTAAAATTATTATCGTTGTTTTTGTTTACAAATATGCCTTTCCAATTTGTTTCTCTCATTCAAACCAAATTAATTTGAACAGTTAAAGAATCGATTCAAATGTATGAATGTACATCGAATGAGAACATTTAATCATTATGTGTCTTATTTCATTTTCAAATGGCATCGATATCATATTTTCGTTATGTAAATGCTTTCTTTCACTTTTTTCCTCTAATTTTGGTAAGTATGTTGAAGTTTAGCGATTCTTCGACAGAAACAAAAAATCGACAGCAATATTTATATGAATATGTATATTTTTATGAAACAAAAGAAAGACTAATTGAAGTGGGATAAGAAAAAATCACAAAATTTTATGATATTTCTTGTTATTAGATCCATTTAAATTTTAATTCAATTGTTAGCGAAAATAAACTTTCTAAATTTAATTAGAATATTTTATGTTTCATCAAATATTCTCTTAAAACTAATGCCATTGATGCTTCTTTTTTTTAAATGAAGAAAATTTAAAATAAAATCTAGCAACGTCTAATTCAAACACTCTTCTTTCCGTTAAATAATAGCATTTTTTGCATTGTTCTAGAATCACAAAACTTTAGCTCTCATTTGCATTTCATCATCAAACTCTAAACAAAACAAAAAAGCGAAAACAATACAAATAAGTAAAAATAAAGTAGTGAACAAAACACCATCCTGTTCATAGAGAGTTTCGTTAAGCAAACGATAATAAAGTCAAAATGACAATTATCGCAATGCCAAAGTAACAGAGACAGATCAAAAATGATGAACTATGCTTGTGTCGTCGGTAAAACGAAAGCAAACTATTTGAACTATTTTGCAATTTATATACACAATATTAATTAATTAAACGAATGATTAACAAAAAATAGAGAAAAATAATGCATTTCGAACTGATTTAGTTATATAAAGTTATTATTATACATATTATATAAACATATATAAATGGTGTTGCTTCAGGTCTAATAATTCATGACAAAATTGAGAATTAAGAAAAACAAAAATATACTACAAAAGAGTATTCAAGTTAAATGATAGAAAATACGCACACGTCATATGTCACAGTTTGAATTTTTATTGTTTTGAACAAAATTAGAATTTTCATTTTGACAAGAATAAAATTGTTTTTGAGATTATTTGTTTGTTCTTCAAAGATAATAATACGCTTTTCTTATAGTTTATTGTACTGTATGGTAACCATCTGGGTAACCATATTCATGTATTCTGATTGTAACTAGTATATATATTGTTAACATTTGTGCAAAGTGATTATGTTCATCATTTTTTATTAAAGATGAGAGACACACATACATCGTGAGAATATAAGCTAAAATAGAGAAAATTAAAGAAGCAAACAGAAAAAGGATAGAAAAAAATGCATAAAAAATGCTCCAAAATACAGTGGGACAATCACATTCATTTTTTCCAATTAAAAACAATAAGAGAATGGCAATAATACGAAAATGTGTTTTGTTTTAATGTTATTATGTAGTTAAATGTATGTGTGTGTATATTTTTTTTTCTGTTGTCAACTTCACAAAATGTTACCATTAACTACGGGCATTGTGATTTTGTACAGAATTTTATCGTACAATCATGTGTATGTAGTAAAAAATAATGCACCCGGAATATATAGAGATATATTCAGATTAATTCCATTAATTTCCCAGGAAATGGGGCCTTTAGATTTGCTTAAAAGTGAAACGTGCAAAAAGTAAGAGGTCCGGAACCCAGTTTTGGATATTTGGATATTCCTCGATTTTTTATGGTATACGATACGATATACAGTTCAAGACAGGGGTAGTTTCAAAACTCTTCGAAAAACATGGGTGGCGCAAAATATGAATTCATTATCATGGAATCATTCACCCAATGTTTTTCTTCAAAAGTGTAATTTTTCTGTGGCTTTTAAGTTCTGTTTAATTTGATCTTTTGGACCCCTGGAATTTGCGAAATTTCCGAGAGCTTTATTATCGATGAATATTTCTCTTTATGTTTTGGGCGCATTGGTAGTAAAAAAACGATCGAATGCAAATGAAAAAATGATGAAAAAGACAAAAAAGTAACAATTAAAACAAATTCAATTTGTTAGTATATTTCAGGCGGAAAAACTGTTTTTTGCTCTCTCTTTATCTCTCTCTCTCTCTCTCGTTTTGTAGATTTAAAAACCGATTCAATTAACTTGAAAACATGAGCCAATTTTATTCGATAAGCTCCGTATTGACAAAATAACCGTGTCAAGCGAGAATTCAAATAATTAAAAGAAAAACTATATAAAATCAAAGACAAAAATAAAAAAAAAGAATAATATTTTACGATGAAAAAAAAAAACAACTATGAGACCATAGGTCGCAACTGAATATTTAAAACCATTTTAGAGACGAAGAAGAAGAAAAAACGGATATTTTCTCTCTCACTCTTTTCTCTTATTGAAAAGAACACGTGTGTTGAAACCAAATAAAAAAAAGAAAAAAAAATGCAATTAAAAAAAAAACAAAAATTCAATAAATTCGACTTAAAAAATTGGATTTAATGATTTCTTTTTGGGTGTTTATTTCTTTTCCTTTGCGATACACGGTCATCTCCCCCGCCTTCTCACTTAATTATATATATATCTCTCTCACGTATGTGCTGAATATTGTGCAAAACAAAACAAAATAATGGAGAATATTGTCAAAAACTATAAAGAATGAACATTTCGGATGCAAACATAATGTGCACTTTTTCACACATATCTATATGGTCTCGTGACGATATAAAATGTTTTGTTTTGATTCGTTTTGTTAATTTATTTTTTGTTACACTTTTTCACTCGATTGTTTCACTCGATTGTCCGACTCAACTACAATGTATATAAATTGCTCCATAGAAATCCTTGTCTACTAATCTGCTGAAATAAATTAATTTAACCGAAACTGAGAATGAAGTGAACAAAAAAACCCCACCTTTTCGTTCAACTCAATGATGCCAAACAGCCACTTTTTTATATTCATCATCCAGTCTTAAGTTCTGTGTATATGTTGCAGTGATATAAAATATACTGTTTGACATAAAATATCTAGTTCTTGTTCCGTTGTTTCTATTTTAACATATATTTTTTTTATTCATTTTGGTTATTCGTTCTTCAAAAATCAAATCGTGTGTTTGTTAGCAAGTTGAATTTTATATATGTATATTTTCCACTCGAGTCACCTTTTGTTCCAACATTCTTTTATATTTGTTGTTCGTTTCGGCTCAATTTGTTGTATTTTTCGTTTTGCTCAATTGAACCAAAAAAAAATGCCGAGAAATAGAAAACATTGTTTAGCATTAAGTGTTGTTTTCTTTTTGTTCCATCAACATTAATATCTAAATGAAATCCCAATCAAAATCGAATCATCAATACAGTTGGACGAGTTTCGTTTGGAAATTCAACGCCGCGATCAAGAAATATTGGCAATGGCAGCTAAGATGAAGACACTTGAAGAACAACATCAGGTAAGTGGCCATCAAGTGAGTGTTATTTTTCTATTTATATTGATATATGTGTGAACATAGATTTAAATTTTTAATTTTCATCTCGTACAAAAATGACTAACATAATCGATCGAAATCACATTTGTGTAGGATTATCAACGTCACATTGGCGTATTGAAGGAATCATTGTGTGCCAAAGAGGAGCACTACAATATGCTTCAATCGGACGTTGAAGAGCTTCGAACTCGAATGGAAGAAAAGAATCGTTTGATTGAAAAGAAAACACAGGCCGCTGTTCAAGCGGTTCAAGATCGTAATCGCATTCAAAATGAACTAACCGAACTTAAGGATCACATGGACATTAAAGATAGAAAAATTAATGTACTCCAACGAAAGGTAAGTATTTTCCCCCCGCATCCAACCTTTTTTTTAAATCGGTTGTGTCCACCTGATCCTGATCACTTGTAATTTCATGTATACAATCCAAATCAAAATTTAGATCGAAAATCTTGAAGATTTGCTTAAGGAAAAGGATAATCAAGTTGAAATGGCGCGTGCACGAATTTCTGCAATGCAAGCCCATCACTGTAATTCCGAGGGTGCATTGTATAGTTTGGAAGAGACGCTTGGTGACAAAGATAAGCAAATGCAACAGTTACGCGATCAACGTGATCGTGCCGAAAAGGATAAAGAAGAAGAACGTGAATTGCATGAACGTGAAGTGACCGAATATAAATTAAAATTACATTCGCTCGAATGTGATATTGAAAAGTTGAATTCACGTTTGGATCGTATTCACATCGAAAAAGAGCGACTTGAAACGCGTTTGGAATCGTCACAAAGTGAACTCGGCAAATCGAAGGCCGAATACGATAAAGTGGCCACCGAAGTTGGACGCAGCACAAGCGATTGGGAAACAACAAAACAACGTTTGGCACGTTTAGAACTCGAAAATGAACGTTTGCGTCATGATCTTGAACGATCACAGGTAACGGTATTTATCAATTTTCCGCAAAACGTGGATTTTCATCATAATTCCGCTTTTCATCATTTCATTACGTGATCCTGATATTGTCGGTTCTTTCTTCTTTAGACGACATTCGGCCGTTCGACATTGACCACATCGCAAGAATTGGATCGGGCACAAGAGCGTGCCGACAAAACAGCGGCCGATCTTCGTCGAACCGAAGCCGAACTTCGTGTAACACGCGTAAGTACTGAATGTGCAATTCTATATATTAGTATATATTTGATCGGTATGCCATGTGTTTTTTTGTCGTGAACCTATTTGTGCAGAAGTGGCTAATCCATTGAAAATACCAAAACTATAAAACAAATTAATTAAAAAAAAAAAAACCAACAACAACAAAAAATACCCAAAGTAACAAAAAAAATGATTGATACAAGCATTATGAAGTTTCATCCAATCATCATTTACTTGGTGAATGCCCCCATTTTAGAAAATAGACAAATTCATCCCATTAAAAAATAACAAAAACAACAACAATGATAACAGCTCTCTATCTCTCCGTGTTTTCTTCTTGATTATTATATTATGTTCGTTTTCTGTTCATTTTCTAAACAAATGCCATCTGTTTTCTTTTAGGGAGCACCTACACAAGATTTTGTGAGTAGAAAATAAATAAATGCCGAATCGTGACCGCCAAAAATCATTTGTATCATTCGATTTTGCATCGCGCACACACATAACACAGACACACACAAACAAACACGGTTACAGCGATTTTTGGCGGCACATTCGTTGGCGTGTTTGTTCTGTTTTGCGCTCTCTCTTTCTCTAGCTCTCGTTTTTGTGAATGTTTTCGCTCTATCTCTCTCTCAGCTCCATCTCTCTAATACAGGCTGTTTTACCACGTGCCCATTTCTCATTTTCTTTCTTTTTTCCATCTTAATTTCTCATTCCCATTTTATGACCTCTCTCGTCACAATTTTATTTCATTCCCTAGTTCAACCTCTCATTCAACCTGCTGCTGGGTTTCTCCTTCTACTTCTTATTCTCGCTCTCTCTCTCTCTCTCCATCTCTCTTCTAATTTCAACACACACACACATCAACACACAACACACACTTATTTTTCCCGTATGAATTACATATGATTTATTCTTTTTATTTGTTTAGAATATTTTCTCTAACTAATTAGTTTATCTATCTATCTCTATCTCTCACTTTGAATAATGCCATTGGGTTTGACACACAAATAAAATGTTCTTGTTACATAATAATAATAATCGACACTTGTATTTGTTTTTGGAAATCTTAGCAACTATCTGACACAATGAAACTAATTTTCGTTCCGCCAATATGCACTTACCAACTTTTAGTTTTTTTTTTTGGTTTGATAAAATGACCACTGCAAAGTTTCAATCAATTGGTGTGCGATCGTGAGCGAGTTCAATTGTTTTCATTCTTTTTTTTATCTCGATCAGATTGGGTCAGTGTGTTTGGATTTGGGTTTGAGTTTGAATTTTCGTTTTGTGTTTATAAACTAACTGACCAATTTGATTGCATATTCGAAACTGAACTAAAAACAAAGCGCCACCGCACATCGCAAATGAGATAAAGACAATAGTCGCACACTGTTTTGAACTTTGAGTGGATGTTTATCAAACTGTGTTTGAAATTCACCAAACTGTAACACACGGAATATTTATATATAATAGGAAGTTCTTAGAGCTTTTGGTGTATACACTGGATTTAAACAATTGAGATGGAATCTGGCATCGAATTCATGTATTTTTTTTTATTGATATAATATATACATAAAATATTGTGTATATGCATTTGTGAATGTGTCTATCACCAAACAATTTCGATTCGATAATTAATATTTCTAAATATATTTATTTATACCAAGAGCTTTACTCTTCGATAGAGCATATTTTATTAATCGAATGATTAAAAATAATTGTTTCGAATAAGTACAAAATTATTTGATTGGAAATGCAGTGCAATGATGAATTGGGTATAAAATAAAGGAAAAAAATCGTTTGGCTTTTTATAATCAAAATCAAAAAAAAAAAAATCAGAACAAAATCCAAAAAACCGCTGCCTTGCTCCTAACACTTCAAAATGTAATAATCATAATATTATTCAACATTCAAAACTTTCTTTTGAACTTTTTCGCCTCTATCAAAATACAAAATCGTTATGAAACATTTATTCGAACTTTCTTTATCACTAATAACAATATTTCTTGAAATAACAACCAAAATAACAAAAAACAACTTAAATAAACAATCGATTTTGCCCGTTGTCGTTCCTCCCGTTTGTTTCCCCTCACTCACTCACCAATCAAAACCAAAACCAAACCATATTCTTATCCAAAACAAAAACAAACAAAAAAAAAACCAACCAACCAAGAATCTAAAACTTAACACTCGAAACCACATTTCCACCAAAAATATTTTCATATGTATTGTTCATAAAATAGTCGGATGCTGAACGTGCTCGTGGCGAGGCTGCATCGTTACAAGAAAAGCTCGAGAAGAGCCAAGGTGAAGTGTATCGTCTGAAAGCCAAACTCGAAAATGCACAAGGTGAACAAGAAAGCTTGCGCCAAGAAATGGAACGCGTACAGAGTAGCGTGCAAAGAGTACACGCCGAACGAGATAAAGTAAGCCCAAGATTAAAACAAAATCTATAAGTTTCATTCTCTCTTTCAATTTTACTCTTTCTGTCTATCTCTCTGTCTTTCTCTATTTTCGTTTTTCGTTAAACTCTTTTATTTTTTCGATTATAAATTCATTTCATAAAATCGACCACATTAATTCCAAACAAAATTAAATCGAACCAGAACAAAAAAAATTACACAAAAATAATTGTAACAAAATCTATTGTAAATGTGATCAAAATCAAGAAAGAATGATCCAACGGTCAAAGCTTCATATAAATCTATACCAAACAACAGTTCCATCTTGAATGTGGTGTTTTGCATGTTGAGTGGCCCCGTTTTAGATGAAATTGATTGCATACAATGCATTGAGTATTGAACGAGTCGACTAATTCCATTTCCATTCTCATTCAATTTATGTTGTTCCATGTGGATTTGTGCAAAAAAAAAAAAAAATAATTCAAACCAAAAACGAAAACAAAGCACGAAATGGTAATGAATGCGAAAAAAATGCGTCACTCGTTCAATCCATGCTCCGTTCATGTGTGAATTGTAATATAGAGACAGACAGAGTGTTGTGATATGGTGATTTCATTCGCATGCAATGGATCCCAATCTTCAGTTCCACTGTCTATATATATATTTGAAACTCATGGTCATGCATTGTTGTATTAAACACAACGACTAATCAAATCAACAAATTTCTCTCTCCCTCTCTCCCCCGTTGTTTTCGTCGAAATCGTTTTATTCTTTATGACCAATTAGACATTAACCGAATTGGAAAAGTTACGCGAAGAATTGGAACGATCACAGGCTGGTTTAGGCAAATCCCAATTGGCACAAGAGAAATTACAAAATTCATTGGACAAAGCCCAAAACGAAGTCGATCATTTGCAAGAGCGTTTGGATAAATCAACGGCCGACCTGCGACGTTTGCAATTGGAAAAAGAGAAACAAGCATACGAATTTGAAAGTTTACAATCACAACTTGACAAAGCACTTGGACAATCGTCACGCGTTCAAAAGGAACGTGAATCGCTCGGTTTGGAAATTGAACGATACAAAGATAAAGCGGAAAAAGCACAACAATCATTGACACGATTGCAAAAGGAACGAGATGCATTACAAGATGAAATTGATTCGTACAAAGAACGTGCAGAAAATAGTCAAGCAATGGCCGTTAAAGCTGTACGTGAACGTGAACAATTGCAAACTGAACTCGAAGTGGTCAAAGAGCGTTGGGAGAAGGCACATAGCATACACCAGAAATTACAGGTACACTTTTTCTCTCAATTTTTGCAGTGTCATACAAATATTCACAACCATTGTTTTTACCATTTTTTTTTTGTGTTTGTGTGTGTTCAGATTGAACGTGATGATGCCTTCACAGAGATTGATATTCTGAAGGAGAAACTAGATAAAGCTCTGTATGCCAGTCAAAAATTGATCGATGAAAAGGATAGTTGGAACAAAGACTATGAGAAATTATTGGAGAAACATGATCGAGCACAGAATGAAATTTATCGCTTGCAATCGCGTGTCGATACCACCGAAGCCGATCGAGCTCGATTGGAAGTTGAAGCTGAACGTTCAACACTGAGCGCAACCAAGGCACGTGAAGATCTACGTAAATTACAAGATGAAAGTTCACGCCTGCAAGAGGCATGCGATCGCATTGCATTACAATTGACCAGAGCCAAAGAGCTTGAAGACAAAGCTCGCGAAGAATTGGAAATAAATCGTGAACGTTTGGAGAAGGCACAAAATGATGTGCGTAAATTACAATCGGAAAAAGATATGCTACAAACCGAAGTGGAACGGCTCACATACGAAGTGGATCGTGCAACACATACAAATACCAAACATTCAGCGGCCATGGAATCGGCACAAGAAGAGGCGGCCCGTTTCAGTTTGGAATTGGACAAAATGCGCGATCGATATGAAAAGAGTCAAAGCGAATTGCGTCGATTACAAGAGCAAGAAACATACGGACGTGATACGCGCCGTGTTAAAGAAGAAAATGAACGATTACGTGAACGTTTGGATAAGACATTGCTCGAATTGGATGCCATCAAAGGTAAAGCCGCTTACGACGAAGAATCATCGTTGAAATACAAAGAAAAGTATGAATCACGTGAACTTGAATGGCAGAATTTGGAGACCAAACTACATGAGACCAGCCTACAATTGGAACTATCAAAGGCTGAAGTGGCCAAATTGATTTCGAATCAAGTAAGACTCTTTGTTGCCGATTATTATTAATTTTTTCATCACTTTTCACGTGTAACTTTGATATTTTTGCAGGAAAAACAAAGAACTGAATTGGAACGTGCGCATATTGAATGCGAAAAGGTGCGTGATCGTCATGAGAAATTGATTAAGGAAGCCGAACGAATGCGTCAACTTGGACCGAATGCCAAACCAAATGCAATAAGCCCCGGCGCAAATTCATTGCCACAGAATCCGGCTGAACGTTCCGAAAATGAACGATTACGTGATCGACTTGAAAAGGCATTGCAAGTTAATCAATTGTTGTACAATTTCCTCGAGAAGCATACACAAAATCAATTCCAAACGCGTGACGCTACCGATTTGGAGGCGGGCCGATTGGCCAAAGAACTGGAAAAAGCACAAATGCATTTGGCCAAACAACAAGAGGCCAATGAATCGACGCGCATCGAATTTGAACGCATGTCAGCCGAACTAAATCGATACCAAGAGCGCTTGGAACGATCGGAAGCTGAACGAGAAGCACTGAAAGCACAGCGACAAAACATGCAATCCCATCAAGTTGAAAAGAATATTATGAAACTGGAGACTGACGCAAAACAATTGGCACTCGAACGGTAATTGGCAAACGAAATTTAAACAAAAAAAAAACACGCTCCAACTGGGTCAACATTTTAAATGATTTTTCCTCTCATTTCTTTTTGCCATTGCAGAGATCAATTGATACAACAATTGGAGAAGAGCCAAGACATGCTAATGAACTTCCAACAGGAACTGAATGCTACTGAACAAGAATTGCAACGGCAACGTGAAGAAAATAAACGGTAAGTGGAAAATATCGAGGATGGTACCCAAGAGAGAATGGAAGAAAGAAAAGAAATCATCGGTACCGATACTCGAATTAATCGATATTTTTTATGATTGGAAATATTCGTTTTTATTCTCTATCAAAAGGTTTGTACAACAACATCAAGAACTTGAAAAGAGATTACAAGAGTCCGAAAAGAAACAACCGCAACAACCGGGTCAACGCAATCTACCGCCCACACCCGATCAACAGCGGCTTGTCGCCGAAATTAATGCACTTAAACAACGATTACAAGAAACTGGCGCCCGCAGCGAAAATGAAGCCGAACAATGGCGCAAAATGGTCGAACAAGAAAAAGTACGTCAACAATTGACATGATTTTCTTTCTTTATTCGAAATGTTAACATTTTTTTTTCACTTTTTATGGAAAATAGGGACGAGCCGATCAAGCTGAAAAGGCAGCACAAGAGCTACACAAACGTGCTCAAACATTGGAAAAACAATTGCAATCGCATATGCAACAAATTGCCAATCTACAGCAACAAAATCAACAACAGGTTAGCCAACATACCACACAAAAATGTTAACACAATAGACAATAATTGCGAAAATACTAAATGCAATACATTTAACATGTTACTATTTGAAACATTAAATTCCTTTTGGCCACAAAAGGTTTAAAACAACTCCTTTTAACTTTTTTTTAATGAATTGTTCGCTTTCCATTTTTGCCAAAGCAACAACAACAGCAACAACCTACTGCCCAAACTCAGCAAGCTACTCAAGAGATGGAAAAATTGCGAAAAGACCTACAAACGGCAAATGTGGAACGCGATCGATTCCAATCGCAGGTATGCATAAAAAAGATAAATAATTAACGCAACACCATTTTAACATCGTTTTTTTTTTATTGTTTAGCTTGAAATGTTAGTTCAAGAATTGGAAAAGAGCCAGATGGATCTGCTCGAAGCAAATAATCAACTGAAGACAACACATCAGCAGTTGACATCCGCTCAACAAAATAATACGGCTAAAGGTGGTATTGATGAGGCACAACGCAAAGAGATCGAAGCTCAGCTCATACAAATGGAAGAGTTCAAAAAACAATTAGATAATCAAGCAAAGGCCATCGAAAGTGAACGCAAATTGTTCGAGGAGCAAAGGTTTGACCTTTTATTTTTCGTTTTAAAAATATGAAAAGCTTCGATAGCATTTTTCACACACAAACACTCCTTTTCAATGTTTTGTTCGGTAATTAATGTTTTTTAGAAAAGCGATAGAATCGAAACGAAAGGAACTTGAAGAGAAAGAGAAGAAACTCATTGAATTCGATAGACAATTACAGAAGCGCAAAGAGCAGATGGATCAATTGGAAAAATCTCTGCAAAAAGTAAAGTTCAAATGAAGTCAGCCGCAGTCTGCATAGAGATTGATGAATATTTATTTTTTATTATAGGCCGGTGGTACTGCTGCTGCTGCAGGCGAACTGAACAAAAAACTCACCGACACTCAGCGACAATTGGAAGCGTAAGTATTCAATTGTATTCCATCGGCTGAACAAATTTTTATTTAAAAAAAAAAACTATTATTGCGATTACAGTGTTCAAGAGCAATACATTCAAGCGAAAGAAGAAGCGGCCAATGCGTCAAAAGAAACCGAACGTCTATTGCAAGTGGTGCAAATGACACAGGAAGAACAAAACGCAAAAGAAAAAACCATTATGGACCTACAACAGTGAGTAGTCCTTTTTTTCTTCGTTCCATTAAAATTCAATTTGATGACAACAGCAAAAAAAAAAACACAAATAACAACAAAAATTTCATTCAATTTCAGAGCATTGAAGAATGCACAGGCCAAATTGAAAAATCAACAGCAACAACAACAAGAGGTCTGTACCATATTGCATTTTTCGTCTGTTTTTTTTTTGCAATATGAATTTACCATTATGCGAGTCAAATACCGACATTAAACCTTTTATTATTTTCATTTCACACAGGCTGCTGGACCAGCTGGATTCCTCAAAAGCTTTTTCTAAATCTAAACTAGAACTGTCCAAAGTGAACATTTAATAAATAATCAATCCAATAAAAACAAATTCGACAAAGAACGAGAAAAAAGTATACACTGAAATGTTATGTTTTAACGAAAACAAAAAAAAAGGATTGGCAATGAAATGGAAAATTAATGTACTGACTGCGAAAGCAACAACAACCACAACAAATAACCAACAAAAAAAATGTTTTTTTCATCTATGCTCATAATACTCATTCTAATCAAAGTTTATATTTAAAAAAAAAACATCAATTTTCAATAACAAAAACCAAACAAATTAAAACTATGATGTTTAAAATAAAAAGTGTGACTAAAATCATTCGCGTCGTTCTTGATTGAAAATAAATAAATAAAAAAAAACCAAGTTTCTATGCTAGAGTACGTGTGATCTAATTTCAACATTTAAACGACGAAGATGAAAACAAAAACAAACACACATAAATAATAATTACACTCTTTTTCTCTTCTAAAACACACCATAGTTTAAAACTTTATTGAAAACAAAGAACAAATAGCAACAACAGCGACTAATTTTTATCCATTAAGCAAGTATATCCTTAAAATGGCCTTTGTGAACAAAACAGACTCTATTCAAATAGACTCTAAGTGTAAATGATTTCACACACATTTGACTTTAATTTGCATTGCTGGAGTAAAGTAAAAAGCAAAAAAAAAACCTAATTGAAAAAAAAAAATATAATTAATTACGTATAGTTGAATTGAACAAACACGCGCAAATACAAATAATTTGCTACCAATATTTTGCTTCGACTGCAATACACATTTTAGAGCTAAACATGCAACAGAGAAAAAAACCATACGACCAACTTACAAAACTGAACGAAAAAAAAACCGTTCGATCGCTCCCTCAAATTAAAAAGAGCTTGATACGCGATGGAACATGCCTAATATGTCCGAGCGGCATGAGGATATATAAAAAGGCAGAAAAAAAACGTGGCAATCATTGGCAAAAATAGGTCCGCTGATGCACTTTAATAAATATGTGTTGTTTTTTTCTTCTAATTTCAAGCATTTTCACATTTCAGGCAAAACCAATATAATTAGGCAAGGATTATTTAACGCATGGTCCCTTCAATTGAATTGAAAACTTTAAAAATTAACGTATGTGTTCACCATATGCCCGCCATATGAACTATGACAAAGACGAGTCACTCTCATTTTAGATTTTCTTTTCATTTTTCCACAGTAATTGCAATTTATGGCAAAAAGAGTGACCAGCCAAAGTACAAGAGCGAACAATGCTAAACAAAACCGAAATAAGACTATATTTAATTGCGATACCAAAGTGGAACATCACATTTATAATTAATAGAAAATTTATTGACGTTGCGAGATAAATGTTCGCTCCCAAAAAATGAAATGTGTTGTTGTTTTTTTGCGGGCCAGGAGCCACACACTGGATCAGAACATTTCAAATGGAACGATAAACGTCAAATGAAACAAAAATCGATTCCAATCAATCTCTATGTAACTTTCTAACTCTTCTATATTTCAAACAAACAAATGTGTCATATCAATAGAATTCTTGTTATTAACGAAAAAAAAAAAAACAATGATGGAGAAACATAGCCAAAACATATTATATATGGAAATTTCAATCAATACACTTACAATCAAGATTGAACACAAATCTAATGGAATAGGATGTAAACAACAAGCAAGTATGTCATTTCATTTTTATATTTAAATAGAAAATGAATGAATAAAGACCGAGATTTATGGGTGTGCACGCGTATTTTGAAAACACTGAAAAATCAGTATAATCATTTCATATATATTGTCATTTCAATCCCTTCATATCATAATAAAAAAAAGAAAGTGCAATTTCCGAATTGCAAAAAATCAAATCTCAAATATGTAAATAAATCAAAAGCCATTTAAAATCAACCAATCAACAAAATATTTACATTATTTCCACATTGGGTCATTGGAACAAATGTCATCAAATCAAATTGTTAAAATGCAGGGTCTGTACATAAACAAACCAAATTTCATAACATTTCATCTCTCTTCTTCATACCTGTCGCCGGTCCGTCTCTCTTCATCATTTGCTTTGCCAAACAAAAGATAAAACAGAAAATTGAAATCGTTTCATTAGAAAATGGCCAATTGAATTTATTGTGTGTACATGATCAGTGTGATTCCGAATTGATAAACCAATAACAATAATAGCGATGAATTCAATTTCGGTTGATTGTTGTTTCAGTGTGTATGTATACCGCTCGAAACGACTTCTCAAATGAAAAAAAAAAACATTCATCAGGCTGAAGGAAGTATTACAGAGCTTCTCGGACCACATTAACAATATACTTGTATTGTTTTTATTCTTCTTTTTTTCATTCACACTTCTTCTTCGGCTTTGATCTTTATCATATCGCATATAAAAGTAAATGTTACCATAGTTTTATACCAACCAAAAGAAGAAAAAAAAATTTAAGACACTTATGAACGTTTTACATTCAAATCAACTTGTTATACGTTTAAAATAATTGAATATAACAAACAAAAAACTAACCAACAACCGAATGAACAAACAAAACAAAGTGAATAAAACCATAGAATTCCTATTATGAAATCGCACAATTCAAATATGCTGTTCATTTATAAAATGCACTCTATGCATTTCGATACTCCATCAAATTACACCAAATGTGCACACAAACACTCTAACTGAACGTTTATTTGCTTTGAATTGGCGAACAGAGTGTGACAAAAATAATTGAAAGTTGAGCCGGCTTAAAAAAAAAAAAAAGAAAACACGATTTTTCATCGAGTAACATTTTAACCTATCCAATGATTGGTTTTTTGATTGAATATTTCGGTTTAAAATCTCTTTCGAGGTTCAACTATAAGATTTTTCATAAGAAAAACGATCTGTTTATGCTACGATTAATTGGGGTCTATCACCATTGTGGCGAACAATGAATAAGAGTGTCTGTTATTGAATTGGTTTAAATTGAAAGGCATTTTCCAATTACACAAACAAAAAGAGTACGTATTGCCTGAAGAAAAAAATGTTTCAAAATATTTGCAAGAAAAACAAAATTTGCTATGCATTTATTTTGGAAATTTTGCAATTTTTTTTATATCTCTCTTTCGAAATGTTGTTTGAGAATTGCAGTGAGGTCTGCTTTTGAAATGCAACACCGCTTTAACCTCAAAACAAAATTCAACACGCTGATTTTTTCTACTTCACTTGGCACTTTGTTTCGTCCATGCTAATTTCTTATGCAAAAAACAAACGTAACATCCAACCAAATATTCATCATATCAAACAATAACAATCAATTTTTGTTGGGAATAACATTTTGACTCTTTTAAAATGCACTGATGTGGAAAATCGACTGAAATGATATTGTTTATAAAGGATTGTGTTAAAGGAAAACGAGAGAAAACAATTCAATATACTGAATTCTAATGAATCTGTTTTATTTAGCTCAGATGATGATCCCCCTTCCCCTCTAAAAAAGGCGTCATCGCGATGAACGCATACTTAAAGCTCTGTGTCACATACACACATATACACACTCACAAAAAGTGTTCAAAAAGAAGAAGAATATATGACTTAATCCAAAGACAGAGAAAAACAGAAAACTCTCAGGTACTAAAAAAATTGTTTTGTTTTAGCGTATGTTAAATCTACTTCGTTCTCCCTTAAAGAGGATTGTGATTGGTGTTTTATTTGTTTGTCTCGAAGGAAAATGACAGAAATAAAATAAAAAATGTATGTCGTCACCGAAACAATATTTCACGGCAAATGGCAAGATCATGTGTTGCAAAAACCATGTGTGCTGAAGAGAATGAAATGTAATATGCACGTGAATAAGGATTGGATGAGAATACCAAGTAATTAAAAGCTTCTCTGTTCAAAGTCTTTTGTTTGTTAAAAGTCTTCAAAATGTAATATAAAAAAGAAATCTATACATAATATAGACAATAAAAAAAAACTTTAAAAAATTGTAGAAGAAAAAAAAATCAAGTGTACATAACTAGTTATCCCAGAATTTTTTTTTAAAGGGAAACTAAACAAGTAAACCTGCATTGATACCAAAAAATAAACTCCAATAAAATGAATAATAATATATTTATCTGATATGTCGACACCCTGAAACTGTGTCGCGATTCCTTTTACCTTTTTCTTTATTATTTTTACAAATCCAAAAGTGAAACATTAACCAATTGGATCTTTTTCGTACGGGTAAAATGCCAATTGAAGCAGACAAACGAAAACATTTTATTAATTCATTTCATTCGTCGCATTTTCCAATCAATTCGATTTTACCTGTAAATTCAATTTCGCACACACTTATATTATTATATCCTTTCTCCTCTTCTTCGCTACACTTTATTCCCACGAATATTCATATATAGATTAAATTTGTATCGCATATCCAAACAAGACACAACTCCGTTTGAGTGAATTTAACAACCACAAACCAAAAAAAGAAGAAGATACATGTTGATTTTTGAAATTGAATAAAAACTAAACCCAAAAATATACCCAAATGGCAAGATGATATTTGTTTGCATTTAGTCAAATAAAACACTAGTTGTAATAACGATTAATAATTATGTTATAAAAATAAAATTTAAACAAAAAAAAACTATGTGTTCAATTCAGAATTCAATGTACTTGTTTAATCTGATGCTAAGAAAAGATGTGACATAAATATATGAATCGAAAACGTATTACAATTCAATCATACCAAGGCATCGCATGCGGTGTGTTACGTAAATTTCGGTTCGCATGAATTACGCAAACCAAAAAAAAAATTATGCAAAATACCTTATATATTGTAATTTGACGAGTAAAATTTAACGATAAAAAACAACAACAACAAAACCATAAGACAGAAAACATAGGAATAAGCTAATGAACAAATGGAAACTATTATCACAACCCAATAGATAAAATATATGACAATTTATAAATATATATATATATAAATCTATTATATAAATGCTTATTGTTGCTAAATTCAATATTTAAAAAATGAAAACAAACACACTCACACATACACAAAGAATACAGCTCAGTTAAAAAACTGATATGGACAAGAAATATCGTACTTTCCACAACAATACCAACCAACCAACAAATTGACACATTTTTGATCAATTGTATTGTTGAATTTTATTAAAGGTGAATAAAAAAATGACGATTTTTTTTTTCGTGTGAAAATAAAACTCTAGATGCTGTAAGTGGTTTAATCAAAACAAAAATTGAAAATTAACTGATTTATTTAATATTAAAACCGATGAAAAAGAGAAGAAGAACAAAAAAATTTAAGATGAATTTTGTTGAACATACACACTATGTTAGATAATTATTTGTTTGGTTAGTAGTTGATTGGATGATTAAACATAAAAGTTTGAAATAAAATATTATAAAGTCTGCCTGAAATAAACAGAAATAAAGAAAAAAAAAATCTATATATACTGTATCAAACGCGGCGCATATATTTGACGTGGTGAATTTGCGAGAGAAAACTTGAAAGAAATTTTTATTTCTCCCGCTGCAGTGAATACCAAGATGATTCGAATCATTATTCGAATGCGAATAAAGCGCACTATAAGTGCATCCAATTGGATGATCATCTTTATCTGAACTCCGATTTCTCCCCATTGCTTTATTCTCCCCCTCTCTCTCTCTTTCTCCCCTTCTCTCTGTTCCAAAGCCACATGTTTCCAAGCACACATTCGTTTTTCTAAAAGATAAGCCGGGGAGAATATCTCGTTAAATCATTTGAAAAAGCAAAACAATTGAATCTTAAATATCAAAATTAGCAAATATATTTTTAATGAGAAAAAATGAAAAGGAAAAAAAAATCTATTTTCAATCTGACTAAACACTGGGTGAACCACCAGAAGAGTAAAAAAAACATCGGTTCCCAAATGAATGGGGTAGAATAAAAACTACTTCTCGAAAAATAGGTATTTTAAAACGAAACCTAAAAAAAATTCAATAAAAAGTGAATCAATTTTTTTTTGTCCAATTGAAGTGAATCAAGAAAAATTTGTTCAATAAAAGTGAACCAAAAAAAAATTTCACTCGGTTTTTTCAGTGCAAAATACACTAAAATGAATTTTTTTTTTAGGTTCACTTTTATTGAACAAATTTTTTTTGGTTCACTTCAATTGGACAAAAAAAATTGATTCACTTTTCATTGAAAGTTTTTTTTAGGTTTCGTGTTTGAACATTTTTCGAGAAGTAGTTTTTATTCTACCCCATTCAAATGTTGGGCAAAAATTTCCTAATTCTTACAATTCAAACAAATATGTATGAACTATAGGCGATTTTCTATGATTAGTCAATTATTAGAATCTATCGTTAGTCAAATTTTTGCCTTACAAATTGTCTCACTTTTGTGGAGTATGATCGATACGTATGTATGAATTTTTGTATCTCACATTCGCCAGTCACGTTTTTTTTAAAAACATTCAATTGAACAGAATCAATGGCAAATGGTAACTGTGTTATCAATGGAATATGGAAATTCAAAGAAAAAAAACGATGTGAAACGGAAATAAGTTTAAAATGAAAACACTTCTCAATTGCCAATTCTCCACTGTGTTATTGAAATCTAACTGGACAATCGGTACAAGCTAATATATTTGTATTCGACTTAGGATGGAAAATCGACCATAGTGACACAAACAAACACATACACACAAATGACTGAAGATTCACAACAACAACTTGGGCTTTTTTTTGTTTTGTTTGTAAATACATTTTGTTCACTCAAACAAACAACAGTTTATTGATGATGATGTTGACGATGAAAAGCAAATTGGTAGTAAAATGTGCTCGATACATACAAAATGAAAAACGTTTAAAAAAACTAACAAACATACACACACACACTTTTTTGTCAAATAAGTAAGCTAAAAATGGAACATAATGAAACTTTTCGGCCGAAACGCGCGTTCAAATAAAATGGCAAACAATAAAATAACAGATGAAACGAAATGACAAAATTTGAACCCGAAAATATGATAAATACATCCCATGTGATGACTTCTCGCAAAACTCTCTCACTGTAAATGACACGCACATTGAATGCCATTTTGTGAAGCGATTCGGTTCGACATTAAGTACATATCTTCTAACCAAAATGATGCGTAGATTAGTGAATATTTAAAGAAAAAAATAAATAAAACAAATCATGTGTGAAAATAATTTAGTCGAAACCGGAAATGAATGAAATGAACACGGTAAATGGACAAAACTTTAGCATTTCCCGTCATAAATAGTATTTTATGGATACACAATTGACTGCAACACCAACTCAACTCTATGACGGAAGGTACAAACAAAAAAAAACAGAAGAAAAAAACTGTTACATAAAATACGATCTTCTCACGTCGAAATTTGAACAAAACAATATAACAGACAGAGGGTCAAACAAACACTTGTTAATCACACCGCCATTTGTATACTAGTTATGAGAAATATCGTCATTAAAATGTTCTACGATTTAAAACAACAAAAAAAAAACCAACAAAGAACAATGGAAAAAGAATCCAATGCCATTTTTTACGGTATTTACATAAATAAAAGAAAAGAAGGGAAATTTCATTATAAATAATATGTGAAAATCACTCACACTCACACTTCTTAGAATCAAACAAAACACATAAATCGGTGCATAAAAATAGGCATGATAATTCGATTTTGATCAGTGATCCTTCTTCTTCTCTCAATCACTCTACTTCTATGGGTAAGCTCTGCAAAAACCAAACTTATGATTTTGAAATGATTCTGTCAAGTATCTCCTAAATCTTATTAATTATAATCCCTTAATGTATCATACACGCGGACAGGCTAAATACCAGTCACATAACATTAACATCATGGCATATGTATTGTATTTACATTTAAATTTAAATAACATCAACAACAACCACTAAATAACAACAAACAAATATATTTAAAAAAACAAAAAGAACAAACACTTGATCAAATGCAATTTTCGAGGTTCATTTCATGCACCGTATTTAACAACATCACCTAATAATTCTCATTAACTTCATTACAAATAAACAGATTAACAACATCAGTTCATTTAGCTTAAACAAATCTTTAATTTCCACATAATTTTTCGATTCTTTACATCAATGTACCAAATAATAAAAAAAAAAAACTAAAAATTCTCATTAAAGAAAAACAAAACTATGTATAATATACGATCAGAGTTGGCAAATACACCTCACAAGTGCGGACACTTTCAGTTTGAGTGCAGCTTTTCTTGGATGCGCGCATCCGATTTCTTGATAAATATTGAGTGCCGCGCTTTAAAAATGTTTATTGTTTTAATTAAGACCACACCATCAAAAATGTTTCTATTGTTTTTTTGTTTAATTTGTGTCCATTTTGAATTTTGACAAATATGCAAACAACAAGGTGACCACAACAGTGGCGATCTGTACAAAGATAACAATACATAGAAAAACGTCTGTGATCTGCATATTTCATCTGTCAACATTTAAAATGGAATAAAAATTAAGTAAAAAAAAACACATTTTTAAAGTGCGACTCCCAAAATTCATATGGAATCATGTGCGTGTATCCAAGAAGAGTTGCACCCAAATTGAAAATGTGCACACTTGCGAGGGTGCATTTGACAACTCTGTAGACGATTAAATATACAAAAATTATAAAATATTAATAAAATACCAAAAAATGTCAAACATATATTTGTTTTTAATGTTTTCTCTTCTTGAAATTTTTCTTTAGAGTAGGTATTTCTATTAGGTTTTTAATCTAAATTCTGAAGTCGATAATGCGATACCCTTCACGATTGACCAACCCAAAAAAGTTCAATTGTTTAGATTTGACATCATTGTATTATTATCACCGGTATAACATGAAATCGGCTGACAGATGGTAATTTCTCCAATAAATCACCGGTGATTTTTCTCATCACCTGCATCCAAGTACTCTGTTGCCTTTTATAAGTTTATTTTAATTTAATGTATCCATAATATATAGAATTATCACTAAATATTGTGAATATCGTTGCTATATCGGCACATCGCATCGAATGATCGAATTGAGTACGGGCTTCAATTGCCAGGCTCAATTCGGACACTGCTTATTCCACTCGTTGTTCGATGCGTTTGGTCGATTGTGTAGGTAAGTATATAATATTTGGTTTGGAAGTGTACCAAGAAATATTTTTCAGAGAATGGCCCCATTTTTTGGTCATACTAATGATTTTGCCTGGTGTAGCCATCTTCAGCTGTTTCCACTTTTATCCTCACTCAATAAAAAACTGAAATCAAAAAATGAATTTGTTTACAGTGAATTTTGAAAAGCCAGCAATTAAATCACCAAACGACGGTTATCAGCCTATTGCGAACATTTATTTGTACTATTTATCTTATCTAATCAATTATGAAAATTGAAATGTAAACTCGCTATAGATTGTGCCTATCATCAAATCAGTCAAATTGTACCGTTTGCCCTTAGTTACGAAAACACGAAACAGAGCCAGACATAAAAAATACAAGTACATGTATGTGTCTCGTGTGTTTGCTATGTAGCAAAGCAGCCCTTGCCAACATGTATGCAAATAAATTAAAAAGAAAAATGAAGAAGAAGACTTTTCTGATTCTGTTTCGTGTTTTCGTAACTGACGAACGGTATTTGTATGCTTAGATAATAGATCTACTAAAGAACATAACATCTGTTGTGTGAAATTGTGATTACAGAGCTAATATAACCACTGTGACCTTTATTAGTTGATTAATAAGCTCAAAACGAACGATTGCTTCATAGTGATAATTTTGTCTCGTAATTTTAATTACAAAAAATACCGAAATTGTTATTCAATTCGATTTGTGCTATAATATTTAAAATATTTGTTTCTCTGTTCGATTCACTGAAGTAAAAGAGAGAAGCGAGCAAACAAAGTGTATTAGTCGGACGTTCGTGTTTTGATTAATTCATCATGCCTTATGATTTTGTTCAAGTAGATGCCTTCACTAATCGTCCACTATACGGCAATCCTGCGGCCGTTGTGTTTGACGCAGACGATATTCCTGCTGAAACAATGCAGAAGATCGCTCAAGAGATGAACCTCTCCGAGACCGTTTTCATTCTAAAGCCCAATCATCCAGACGCTGACTATCGAGTGCGAATTTTCACCCCGAAAAATGAACTTCCCTTTGCCGGCCATCCCACGGTCGCCGCCGCTCATTCCGTTTTGGCGCGATTCTCTGAGAAATCATCGACCAAACTACTTCGTCAAGAGTGTGGAATTGGTATAGTACCTGTTGAGGTGATCCGCTCGGATTCAGGTACTTTACTTCGAATGACTCAAGGAACACCCGAATATCGTTCGGTAAATTTATCGCGCGACACAATGGCAATGATGCTGGGCTGTGCAGAGAGAGATCTTGGCGAGCATCCTTTTGAAGTGGTTTCAACGGGTGTACCTTGGCTTATTGTTGAACTTACGCACTTTGCGACCATTTCAGATTTGAATCCAGATCTTGGGCTCATCACACAGCAATGCAAAGCTCTAAAGGCGGTCGGAGTTACCGTATTCGTGGATCGATCCAGTGGCGATAGACCTCGGATTCGGGTGCGAACCTTTGCTCCAGGTAAAATTCTCTTTGTACTATTCGAATAAGCCCCAGAGTTTGTGAATATTATTTTAAAATTTAGGTGAAGGCATCGCTGAAGATCCGGTCTGTGGATCTGGCAATGGATCAGTACTAGCGTATATTGTTCGATATAAGCACGCCAACGAAAAGACTGGCGCCTATGTCGCGGAACAGGGCATTGAAATAGGACGTGATGGTGAAATTCATGCATCCTGGGAACAAGTGCACGATACTTTACAGGTTAGAATTGGCGGTGAAGCGGCGATATCTGTAAGTGGAAAACTACACCTGTAATTGACGTAATCTACGCAAGTGAATTTGTGTTATTAAGCTTTGTTGACATGCTGTGACACTACTAGGTATAAATATGTGTAAAATGTATGACCGTTTGAATGAATCTTACATGTTCCAATTGTAAAATTGTAAGAAAATATAAAAAACAAAAATCAGAACAGTTTTATTTTGTGGATTCTTGAAATGTTGTTAAAAATAAAACCAATGTCGGAATATGATGGCGTTTTATTTTCAACCAAAAGTATGTCAGCGTAGATGGCGCTGATTTAAATGGACATTTATATGTATAGACGGTGGCGCCGCCCTACTCAATTACTCACTGAACTGCAGCGTTTCCAATCGTTGAATAAAACATTCTATTCAGAATTTCGTTTATTCATTTGAGGCTCATCCACAATAGTCGAGCTTTAATTTTTCCCCGTGTTCGATAAAATCACAGGGTATGGCAGTCCCAGAGCTGTTATAGGCACCGCAGAAGTGCGGAAACTTTTCTTGTAAGTGTCAGTCCCAGAGTGATGGAAAATCAACATACACATTAGGGTGCATCGATTTTTAGTTTTTGAAAATTAAAAAACCGTCTAGTGCGGCTTTTGTAAACCTGGTCGAGAGTAACAATATTTGTTCTGGCACTTTGACCAACACCCTCCCTATTTTCACCCCGCTCAATTTGAAGTTTGACATTTTTCAAATGAATTTTTTCAATAAATTTGTATGACAGCCAATTGATTTTATTATTGTTGAAGATAGAGGAGCTCTATAAGATAGACTCATCACAAAAATACATTTTAGATTTGCTGACAAAAAAATTTGTGACAACATTTTTTTTTCGCCCATCGATTTTCAAAAGAGTCTATCTACAACAATAATAAACTCAATTGGCTGTCATACAAATTCATTGAAAAAAATTCATTTGAACAATTTCAAACTTCAAATTGAGCGGGGTGAAATTAGGGGGGGTGTTGGTCAAAGTGCCAGAACAAAAATTGTTACTCTCGACCAGGTCTACAAAAGCCGCATCAAGAAAAAATATCAAAATTTGAAAATCGGTCCACCTGTCTTCAAAATATGGTTCTTTCAAGAAAAGGGTCAAAATTCGGCCATAGCACTAAATGAAGTCGTTGTCCCCTGATATATCGATGATTCTAGAGGTCATTACCTTTCCAACGATACCTCAAACGTTAAAATCGATCAATCCGTTCGAAATATTTATTATTTTAAAAACTTCAATATTTTTCCAAACTCTCGAAGGTTTTGTGTTATTACAGAGCACTCTCGCTGGCATCTCAGTGTAACCACTCATTTGTATAACTTTCAATCTTGACTTTTAGTACGTAGAATTGGCTGAACCTTCATATAAATACCTTTCGAACTAATATGATTTCAATTGCAAATGCCCCTCTGCCAAATCGACAATTTTCAAAAAAATAATTTTATACGTCACAAATTCCAAAAACGATATTATAGTTTTTTCTATAGTAAATTTTTCAAAAAAATATTTTTTTGCGTCGCAAAATCTTAAAGTGATATAATACAGAGGCAGAGGCAAGCGTGGAAATTGGGTAAGTGTTTTGCTCTCAGTCCGAAATTGCATGAAATAAACGAATATGATAAGGGAGCGAACGCGAACCTTAACAGGAACGCTCGCGAGCCTATATGTATATGTTTTTTTTCATTCAATCTCTCATTCCACATATACACAGTTCAAGACTCTAACATAAATTCACGCAACACATTTGAAATTATGCAGACTATGTAGTTTTTTCTAAGGTGGGAAAAATCGATTTAAAGTTTTCCCAATTTACATTTATTATCGCAATATTTGTATACATTGAGAAAATAAATTTCCAAAAATTACGAACGAACGAACGTGTTGGTTGTTCTTACGAACCTACGAACGAACAATCCGAACAATTCATTTTCTACGAACGAACGAACAAAAAGACCAAAAAAATATTCTACAAACGAACGAACGAACGTTCATGGAGAGCTATGGTAAACTTCTTATACGTATGAGTTGTGTATTTGTTTTAGAAACTACGTCAATTTAATACGTCAATTGCTTCACACGTGCAATTTAATACTCTATTTGATGGACCCAAAATTTAAAAAGAAAAATTTTAAATATTTCATATTCAACAAATACTAATTTAATAAAATTTAAATTAAATTTGCAATGCTGGTTTTTTAATATAAATTGTAGTACATCAGCTAAAATTTGATAATATTAAAATGTTAAACAAACGAAAGAGTGTTTTGAATTTGAAGATGAAATTATTCATTGTTTTGTGTTTTATTACTTTGGTGAGTAGGCTTAGAATATTGTTCGATATTTGTAGTAAGGTCTAATAATTTGGGGAATTATTTAAAATTCCATAAGTCCATGGATTACAATTGTAATTTAGCCAACAGATCTTAAAGCATTTTCAAGAGCTTTCAAATTAGAATCAGAAATAGACGTACGTGTTCGAAAAAAGTAAATTTTGTCTGTCCGTCCACCAATAATTTAAACAGATTTTTAGCGTTCAGAAAATCGCCAGGGGCTTTCATGATTCAAAATATACACAATATTCACAAATATTCACAATATACGCGTCTTATTCATTATATATGCAAATATATACGGCATAAATCTGCACCGAATAATACCGCACAAAAGAGAACGAAAAAATATGCCATACGATAAGAAATATATACGAGATATATGCAAAATATACGCCAAATATGTGCAGCTATACACATTTATTTGCGCATATTCTAGATATGCGGCATTATATTTCAATATTTGCCTTAAAAGTAGTATACGTTTGAGCATAAAAGCCTCTAGGAAAATCGCACTCTTAATTTGAATTAATTTATAGATAAACATATTTTATTATGCACAAAAATGATCTATTTAATAGGAGATCTGTGCTTCGCCTGGCAGCTCCCCTAATCGCAAACATAAAAGTAAGATGAGGTTCCCGCTGGTTTCGATTCAACGACATTTTTGTGTTTTAAAACGTTTGAAAATTTTTAGGTGGGAACGTCATATCGGCTTCACAGCCTTTTTTCCCAGTATCATCCTTAAGTGGAAAGATTAGAGAGATGACAACAGACATTGGCATTGAAAATATTGGTAAAGCTGCAAGCGAATACAATGGCACTACATGGATGGAAAGGTGAACCCGGACATATTGATTTTTAATCGTTGTACCTATTTAGTTTGTCGATCTCAACACTTTCAGATGCTGTGGCATGAAAATTCCAAACTATTCAAAAGTGTTCAAAAGATTTAATGGACCCCCAGTGAATCCTCAAGACGAGTAAATTCATCTTTGAAGAAAAACATTGCCACTTGTCAAAATGACTTAATTTCAAATTAAATTCCATTTCAGAGGTTTTTTTTCTTTCTTAAATCCCATTATTGAACGAGTAAATAGTGTAATAGATGATTTCGATGCAGTTTATCCGGACCACTATCTCCTGCGCTTAGTTTATGAGTTCGTTGGTGATTTTGCAAATCGACTTTTAACAAATATTCAATCTTTATTTTGAATTTCAGTGATATTGGCGCACTTGAACAAATTGGAGATGAGTTAAGGCAACGCTGCGATAACAATCCGTATGACATAATCATGTTATTATGATATCATAATCATTTAATTTTATTTCTTTTACAGAGAAATGTCGAATATTGCAAAAGAGTTTATTCAGAGAGTTTGCATCGATATACACACAACAATTTGCAAGTTAAAGGGCGCAGATGGTCCACATGAACCGGTTGTTGTTCATCAACTGGGTTATGATGATCAATAATGCAATTTAACGCACTCAATATCCCGAGTTTTTCTTGAAACGGCCTCCATTTTTTCATAATTGATTTTATTTTATCTTATATCGGAGGAGCAAATTATAAACTGAGAGTAAAAATAAAAATTTTCATTGTTTCAAACCATATGCCAAAAAAGCATTTTTTCACATACCTAACTTATCTGAAATTATAGACATAATATTACTTGAACAAAAAAAATTCTCGTTGTTTCATGCATTGTTTCTTTGGAAAGTAAAACCAATCGAATAATAATTCTCGAAAATTCCGAAAATTGATATTGTTTTTGGTGTTTGTAACACACCCAAATTTCATTCCGTGGATGATGTAAAACAAGAAAATGATCATTCACTGTAAATCATGAAAAATACACGGTCATTCAAACATTGTTTTTTCTTGATTGTTCGCCCATGTAAAATGTAGGCTACCGAACTTTGAACAAATGATTCGTTGGCAACTTTATTAGTCAATATATGAACAGCGCTAATCAGAAAGGATTAGGTCAGAATGCTCACATGAACAGTGAGAGTCAACTGCTCGTACACAAAGTCCAATACTCTATTCAAAAATTCATACTTTATTCAGACCTTTCATATGATTTGACAATATAATTGATAGGCAGTAAATGTATAGTAAGGAGGTTCAAAATATAAAACGATGAGTTGGCGACAAAGAGTTTACATAACTGTAAAATTCATAGGGTAAACAATGGAAATTTTCGTTTGTCATTATTTGAACTGTTATTTTGTATTCAAGCATTGAAGTAATTGAGAATCTATATTCTTTAAACTAGAAAATCGACATTTATTGGTTGAACAAATTTATTTATTTTATATGGGACAAATAAGACCTAGGGGGTAGACACCAATTTTAGTATACTTAGTTTCATTTAATATATATTTAGTTTCTTTTAGTTTCTTCTAGTTTTTTTTAGTATACAAATAAAAATGAAAATATTCTTCTAGTATTTCTGGTATTGAGCTGAACGCATTGCATTGCCAATGTATTCTTCATCCATACGAAATACAATAGAATCCATTGTTCTTACTGATCAAAAATATTTTTTTTTACAAAAATGTACCGTTAATCCCGTCATCCCTCTTTTCCAAGCAAAACTAATCTAAAACTAAAAGTTCACTATGTAGTCGGCTTTATAGTAGACTTTAAAATTGAATAAATAAATATATAAATAAGAAATGTATTGGCAATGTAGTTTGTATGAATGAAATTTACCATAAAGAATACACTGCCAACGTATTCTTACAACGGATTTCTTCCATACAAAATGTATTGCCAATACTTTTCATATGCATGAATCGACGTAAACATTTTTTCACAAATAATCTTCTAGCAGCTTCTAGTTTGCTCTTAGTTTCGTATAATATAAATTTGTGTTCACCTCTAGAATAAGACCGAGACGGCTTTTCTATTGATACCAATTAGATGATTCAGACAGAAAAAAAGAAACATTTGTTATACACATTTAAGAGTGCAAACAAATATTCAAAATAGGATCCTGGGTTTTTGATAGTTTTTTTTAATCGAATGGTAACCAAATTTACTGTTTTGGCCTCCAAAAAACAGTAAAAATCTCCAAAAGAGAACAAGTGACCGTCAAAAAAATAGAAAATGGTCGCCAAAAAAATGCAAAAAAGTCATCAAAAAAAGGGAAAAGTGGCCTCCAAAAGGGGAACAGTGGCCTCCGAAAAAACTATTTGGCCTCCAAACGTTAAAAAAATGACCGGCAAAAAAAATGGAAAATGGTACTTAAAAAAATGGAAAAAAAGTCTTTTGGCCTCAAAAAAATGTAATGTAAAATTGTCTCCAAAGAAATCCAGTTTGATCCAAAAGAAATGTAATTGACTCCGATTTAAATAAAAATGTTACCAAAATAAAGGAATGGTCACCAGAAAGAGTAAATGGTCAACAACATAAAAAATGAATAAAAAACTTATTCAACAAAAACTTAAATCAAAATTTGATTTTATAAGATGATTGGTCAGCCTCAATATTGAAAATGATTGTATACATATGAGGGTGCATCGATTTTTATTTTTAGAAAATTAAAGAAACGGCTAGTGCGACTTTTGTAGACCTGGTCGAGAGTAACAATTTTGTTCTGGCACTTTGCCCAACACTCTCCCTATTTTCACCCCGCTCAATTTGAAGTTTGACATTTTTCAAATGAATTTTTTTCAATAAATTTGTATGACAGCCAATTGATTTTATTATTGTTAGAGGAGCTCTATAAGATATACTCATCACAAAAATACATTTTAGATTTGCTGACAAACATTTTTGTGACAACATTTTTTTTCGCCCATCGATTTTCAAAAAAGTCATCCAAAACATATGCTTCCGTCAATGTTTTTTGCTCAAAACTCATGTATTTTTGAATTCCACATGCCCAATACTAATACATATATATAATACTCAGTCATAATTCATCGAAAATATTGATTCATTCTTTATGTAGTAAGGACCCAGATTGAAAATAGAACTACATGGACTCAATTGTAATTGGTAGTTGGATTATTGGATCTGAACGGGAAGCATACTAGGTCTACTTTTCAGTAATATCCACACTTTCTCGTTGCTCAGGTTTTTTAACCTATTGCAAGATGCCCGTTTGTGTGTCTAACGCACACCAATAATTGGTTTATCCAAAAACAAGATTCAAGCAAGGGTTTGTTTAACATGCTCTCTTGAAGAAATTTAAAATTTTAGTTACAAATTGGCAGTTACATAAGTTACAAAAATTCAAGATAAATCGACTGTATTTTATCTAAATTTGATTGTCTGATAAAAATCACAATAATCTTAGTGAAATGAAGCACCGTTTTTCGTCAGTGAAATTAATTTATTTCGAGAGAATTATTTTAATGTGATATTTTCATTCGATGCGATCAAACGAGATCAGGTCTGAAATATGAAACATTTGAATCATTCGTATGAAGTTGAATTGGCCAAAATTCAATTATTAATCTCTGTATAATTAGAGACAGTTTGTCTGCAAATGGGACATTTATTTCTTGATATTGGTTGTTCTTTCCATTTGAGCCAACAATCCCCACATGTTTCCTTATGATTGCATGGCAATAGAAGGGCACTTTTCTTATTTACACAGCACAGTGTACATGCATCATCGTCTTCGTCTTCTTCTTCTAGTTTTTTGTTTTTTCCTTTTTTTGGATCTGGTTTTGTTGGCTTTTTTGGTCCTTGAACTTCTTTAGAACCTAAAACGAGTTCGGGATTTTGAAATGGTTGACCAATTGCTGTCCAAAACCCTGTACGTTCCTCATTTTTTGTTATCGAAACGAAGAATTTTTGCCCAACATGTTCTGGTTTCAGGGTACCGTATATACCAACAACTATATCCGAATTCGATGCATTTCTCTGAGTTGTCATTAAAATAGGTCTTCGATTTTTGCTGTCAACGCCCAATACACATAACCGCTTAGTAGATGTTGCGAGATGTAAAAAAAATGCAAGTCCATGTTTGTCATCTAATTCTGTGTAATTAATGCCACGTTGAAATGAATAAAAGTCGTAGTCCACGTAGATATCAACATCTCCAATTGGATCCGTAATCCCTTTATAGGTGTTGGTATGGATTACTTGCAGGGTTTTTCATAGATACGAAATTTGTATCTAGATAAGATAAAGATTTTCAGTATTTCAAAAAATTAAAAAGATAAGATAAAGATAAGATATCTTGAATATCTATCTTTTCTAAAATCTATCTATTATTTTTAGATATTTTTCGCGACGATTAACTACAAATAAAAACCCAAAATATTCTGTTTCCTTTCGTCGTTCTATTTTTCAAATATTTTACGATTGTGTTTTAAAAGTAAAATGCGCTCGAAATTCGTTGATAAAATTCGATTTCTTTGTGGTGTGAATATCAATTTGGATTGATTGAAAAAACACTATAACAAATATGTCTGACGTTAATTTGCCATAAAAATTATTTTTGAAACACTTTTCATAACTAAAGTCACAAAAAATTTTGATTTTTGTATGGTAGCCATGTCTGTATGCTATCTTAATGGTTTGAAACTTTGCGGAGGGTTTAGAGAAATTTCAACCAAAATTAAGGGTATCTCTCATACAAAATATTCGTTTTTGAGCCAAAAATTGAAATATTTGTATACATCTATATCTTTTCTAATGATATTTTTTTGGTAAAGATAGATAGATATTAGGCGTATCTAAATTATTAATATAGCAGTTAGATAGATATTAGATTTTATCTATCTACGATATCTTTTGTAGATATAGATAGATACGTATCTATGAAAAACCCTGATTACTTGAACATAGCTAGCATCGCCACTTTTAATGGAATAGTGTATTTTTGGTCCAGAGTCAGGATTTTTCGTAGGATCGAGAGCTATTTGAAATCGACAACTTGTTTTAAAAATACTTCTTTCCACTGAATCTTTTTATAGAATACATACCCAACAGTAATCTGACCTTTCCGTCGGTTTTTTTATTCAAATATTGACAAGTTCGACCAGCGATATGCGCACCAAAGCTCCAGCCGCTAACATCAACCTGTGATAAATTCCTAAGACATTGCTGTCTGTTCGATGCAATACATTTTTGTATTACGCCAAGCACCAAGTCCCGTCCCAACTTTGCCACATATTCAAGCCTCTGGGTTTTCACCATTTTTTTTATATGATCAAACATTCGATGAGCGGAGTTCATCCAACTTGGTTTGTATGCATACAATGCGATACAAATATTTTTTCCGGATGCCCTGAACCATTCTAAAAAATTGAAAATGATTAAAATTTATAACATTTATTAAAAATAAAACGTTAGCAAAATATAAAAAGAAAAATACCTTTGGCAAATGATTGGAGCAAATCTGATGATTTCAAAGAATCGTTTGATTAAAATTAGATAAAGCAATATTAACTAAATTAAAAGAATATTTACCGAAAGATGAACCGACCATATTGGCAACTCCATGGAAATACAACGATAGATCTCTTCCATTATCTAATTTTTCAACTAAAGCTGACGGAATGCTTCCATTCACTACAGTCGTATAAAATGCACTTTGGCTGGAAAAAGAAATAGATATAAACAGAAAAATGAAAAATGAAAAATAAAAAACTTGGAATACATACGACTCTGGTGTTATACACGAAAATCGAATTGGATCTCCCTTATATTGGAATTTATCAATGTCCATCTCTTTAGGATTTTCTTTCATTCCCGAAACCAGTTCGGCTTTTGCCAATAGCCCAAGTCTTTTCCAAAATTCAATGCGTTGCTCTCTGTTGATCGAAACAAAAAAAATTTGTCCACGCTGTTCTGGTTTCAGGGTACCGTATATACCGACAACTATTTCCGATTTCCCGAAAGAATCTCTTGCATTTTTCAACAAAATACCATCTCTTCTTTCCTCCAGAGTGCCTATTATACAAAATCGCTTAGTTGATGTTGCAAGATGTAAAAAAAATGCAAGTCCATGTTTGTCATCTAATGGACTATTTTCGGAGTAGTAATAATCGTAATTTACATAGATATCTACATCTCCAATTTGATCCCATATTGATCTATATTTCAAAGAAAATGAAACGTCCCGAAATTACTTGAAAATTGACATCACATCATTTTTATTTTGTGGAAAAAACTATACCTGTATTTGTTTGTATGAATTACTTGAACATAGCTAGCATCACCACTTCTAATGGTACCGTTTATTTGTGGTCCGGAGTCCGAAATGTTTGGTGGGTCCAGAGCTATAATCGACACGTGTTTTGAGAATACTTCTTTCCACTGAATCATTTTATAGAATACATACCCAGCAGTAATCTGACCTTTCCGTCGATTTTTGTATTCAAATATTGACAAGTTAGACCAGCGATATGCGCACCTAAGCTCCAGCCGCTAACATCAACCTGTGATAAACTTCTAAGACATTGCTGCCTCTTTGATGTAATACATTTTTGTATTACGTCAAGCACCAAGTTCCGTCCCAACTTTGCCACATATTCAAGCCGCCGCGTTTTCACCATATTGTTTATATTATCATATATATAACCAGATGTAAGCCAACTCGGTTTATAACCATACGTTACGATACAAATATTGTTTCCAGATGCTTTGAACCATTCTAAGAAGAAGAAAAATTTGAGTGAGTATGTGAAAAAGTAATTGAGAGGGTTTTCATAGCTCTTTATTTGTTAAAAAAACCTTGGGTAAATGATTTAGTCGCGAATAGATCAATTTTATTGAAGTTGTAAAGTAATTGGTTTTTTCAATAAAAAGTCACAATAATTCGAAAACAATTCGGAATAAGTTTAATAAGTTTAATTTGATATATAGAAAGGACGGAGATCTAACGAATTATTTGCGTCGAATTCGCGAGTTTTTTTCAGGCACGCAACATTTTGATCGAGATCCGATCCCCTTGTATAAAACGTTGGCAAAATATAAAGAGAGAAAAACTTACCTTTTGCAAATGATTGTAGTACCTCTATTTAAAAAAAAAAATACGGTTTTAATTTGAATATAAAGCAAGTTGCTTAGTTTTGATCAAAAGTACTTAAAAATTATTCGATGGAATCGTTTGCTTAACCACAATTACCGTATTATAATCTTAAATAAATTAATAGGAGTATTTACCAAAGGAATAACCGACCATGTTTCCAACTCCATGGAAATACAACGATAGACTTCTTCCATTATCTAACTTTTGAATTAAAGCTGAAGGAATACTTCCATTTACTTCAGTCGTATAAAATGCACTTTGACGGAGCAAAGAAATGGATACAAACATAAATGATTAAATAAAATGAAAAATCTAAGACTTGAAGTACATACGCATCAGATGTATAACATGAGAATCTTATTGGATCTCCTTTGTATTGAAAGTCATCAACATCAAAAGAGCCGCTGCTTGAACTTGATCCAAAAAACCAAACAGCATTGCATCTGTTTTGAAATGCTGTAAAAATGATCACGTACAAGAAAATATTCATATTTTCTCACTTATTTTTTTATCACTTTGTCTCGAGTATGTTTAACAAACAACTTGTTTATGTGGCCAAACTCCAATTAACCAGTGACCGGTTCGCGCATATTTCTATGCCTGATAGCTATGCTAAGCATAGCGGAGACGTAAGCCGCAACGCACCCGTCGCCATTCGATTCGAGCTATATTGTATGCGCACGGTCGTCTGCATAAACGAACATGTGTATTGTTCATATAGAGTGAACGGCGATGCGTCGGTTGCGTTTGCGGCTATGCTTGGCATATCTATGCTACCTAGCGTATTTAGGCAAGCATAGAAATATGCGCGAACCGGTCACTGCAATTAACTATACTCTATCAAGGCTTATTCATAAGAGAGAAATGTTTTCAAATTTTAAAATTGCCAACACATCTCTCAAAAGTAAATATTTTTCTAATTTTTTAATGACGTCTTTGGATAATTCCAATGTGAAAAAAATAATAGTTACATCTATAAATCTAACTTTTTCGAATTGTTTTCAAATTTTCTCCTTTTAACGAACAGTTGAAAGTATGCCTTATCTGGTGTAATACTTCAACCAGATGTGGAAAATTAGAATAAGTACAGTGTACGAGTCTTTACGGAAATGAAAATAATATTTTGTGTGAATTCAAGCCAAATTCATAAAACATGCAGAATTGAAAGAATTGATAAATAATTATCTGGATTCGCGCTTGAATTTTATCAATTTTTTACACCAAAATTGAAATAAATAGTAATACTGATCCTAGGGCGTACAGTGGCTGCTGCGACTACTACGGCACCATTCGCTCACTGAGGTTAAGCTGCATTTGCTTTGGCCAGTGTTTGAATGGGTGACCGATAGAACATCGTATGTAAGCTACTAACGTTACTAACGGGTTTTTGAGCCAAATCGCATCGGCTTGATAGCAGCTTGACAGCGCATCAGCTGGATAGCAGCTGAATAGCGCACCAGCTTGATAGGAGCTGATAGCGCATCAGCTTGATAGCGTCACAAAATCACCGAGAAAAAAATAATCTTGCGTAATAATTACGCCTTTGGGTCTGTGGAAAAAACTGAATAGCTTAAGCATGAGCGACACCTCCTAGCTCCCCAATTAAAAAAAAAAAAAAAAAAAAAATACTGATCCTTACGCTAAATGGCAATATTTGCAACAAATAGACTAAATTATAAAATCTTGTAACTAGATTTTGAGATAATATTTAAAATAAAGTAACACATTGAAAAAATAACGAAAGCCATTTTCTGTACCTTCTCGAACAAAATTTCGAAAACCGATCGCCAACATGTTTCGAAATGATTTCATAGTTTCGCCTAATACAATATCTTTCCCGTAGTTCGTCAGTATAACAATCACTTCTGTCGCTACATTCCAGCGCCTGACGTCAGTTGCCTGAGCTGATTCATCTGGCTGAAAATATCTCAATATAATGTCTGATTATAAATAAAATTTTGAAATAAAACTGTAAACAAGTTGTTTTTAAAAGGTTTTATTTATTCAAATGGAATTGGTGATTATCGACAGTTGAACGAGTCTTTTACGTTAAATACCAGATTAAATATATTAAGTATATATTTCAATATTTTGGTAAACTTTTAATGTTGGAGCAAATTTCATTTCTTCTGAAACCAAATTGTTTGTGGATCCTCTCATTTTTTTTGGGAGCAAAAAAACTGCCAAACTTTTTTTTCCACAAAGGATTTTTAAACAAATCGAAATATGATCATAGCTATGAAGTCCCTACTAAAATACTAAAAAATCAGATGGTGTCGGCATTTGTAGAAATATTTTTAAATTCATTTGAACGACACATCATTGAGGCATTTGTACACTAAGTGGATATGCAATGGAAAAAAACACACAATCGTAGAATAAAACGAATAATTGTATTTTCATTTCAAATTTTTTGCAAACAATAATAATACACTCATTTTATAATTTTATTCTGAATTCTTGAAAAAAAAAAACATTTGTTATAATGCAGCAGTGAGATTTATTTACATTCATTTAAAAAAATAATAATTTTGATTTACGTTCGTTTGATTTCATTTTGACAATAATTTTCTGGGAAGAAAATTACGGGATACGTGACTCGAATAAACTCCATTTATAATATTAGTTTTAATCATTGCACAGTGTGATTGCAGCACTTTTAACAAAGCATATTGTAAGTGGACCGTACGCTCCGTCGAGTGGTTGATCATTCGTAAAATGTATGATAAACTAAAAGAGACCACGATTTCAATCAGTGATAAATAGTGCCTATTTCCATTGCAACGCCAGGCTCGACAGGTAATTAATCGAAACAAAAAAAGTTCGCGTTGTACAACTTGTAACTAACTTGTACAAAAATCTTTTGCATCTTCTGGGGATGAAATACAATTACGACGAAATCCAGCGGTGAATCAATTCGATCGAATACAACGATTAAAAGAAAATACCTCCAACGTAAGATATTTCAATGAGTGCAGTTCTTTGGATTTAAGAGAAATCATTTGATCATCATCAGTAATCAAGACAATGTTTTCAGAGAACATTCTTCACTTTCTTGTGATCATAAATCAATTTATGTTCGTCAAATGACCCATTAAAATCTGATTTGATATTTTCACGTAGGCCTGACTTAAGAATGGTTTATTTTAACTCAATCTTTTAAGTACGGCGACATAGAAAGACAATAGGACAGACGAACCATTCTCTCGAATACAGAGACCAATTTGCATATTTTATATTAAATATTCGCCAAATGCGAAGCCACACAGTGAGCTATGGAACAATATACTGTAATATATGTATACTAGCGCCACAGTCGATTCGACGTCCAAGAAGTACACCTAATCAATTAGATGTTAAAACACTTTCACGCACACCAATGAATTGCCGCATACTCTATAGAAGAGAAGCAATTTCTGGTGTTGAAATGCTGTTTTAAAACGTCACCGTCTATTATCGTTTGTGGCGTTACTGTACGAATACATTTGTCAATAGACGCACGGTGTGTGCGAAGCGTAGGTATACATTTGACTGGTATCACACCCAATTAAGGCTTATAATAAGTTTTGTTTTATGCATGAAAATTGATTCGAAGCTATTTCTTATAATTTTCTTATGGACATTTCCATGAAAAATCGGGTTTGAAAATAGTGAATAATGTGTGTGTTACCTTATCTCTCTACGTCAGCTCCCAAATTGAATCTGCTAATTTTTATCGTCATTATATATTTATATAGAAAAAAATTATTACAAAAAATTGTATGTTCAAATGTTGGTTTTCAAATAAATGTGTTTCTCTCAAATTATTATATTCATGTCGTGTGTTAAATACACTTGGTAGAACATTTATTCACATATGCACTTTTCACACTTTTTTTATTCACGGCAATTTAATCATTATTTATTGTATTATCAGTGCATTTATTATTAATTCAAATATATCTTTACGCTACCGACGCACTGCAACATTAAATGAAACTTAGATTTAGTTTTCGCTAAAAAGCTCTTGAAGAACGTCGAATCTCGCCAAACATATAAACATTTGAATACAATCAGTTCAAAAGCAAGATCTATTATCATTTGATTCAATAGTTTTTTTCTCTACATTTGTTACGTTTTCATGTGAATGTCAATTCTTCATCATTCAAAATGAGTTGATGTGCAAAAAGTCGGGTAAATTTTCTAGCAAGGAGGTTTTGATATTTTCGCTAAAATTATCATGACCATTCAATTCGATTCATCGTCATGCATTCTCTTGTTATTTTTATACTTGTTACATATCTAGGGGCTCGGAAGTATTTTTTATCGGAGAATAACCACGCATAATCACAAATAGTGACACATTTTGACTAGTGACTTACTGTGAATATTCATGAATTTTCGAGATTATCGTGGTTATCGTGGTTGTCGTGGCTATTGTGATTATCGTTAATACGCAAAATGGCGATGAATGTTGCATTTCATTTCACAGTGAAACGTCACTTGTAAAATCAAACAGGCTTGCAATATTAACTACACACTTTTGAAGTTCTTCATCCAAATTATTTTTTTTGTCAAAGAAATATTACTTTTTTAGCCTGAAATTTGATTTTATACAATAATAACAACGATTATATTAATTTTATTTTGTGTTTTGTGTGTTTCAATCGGGTAAAAAAATTGAAGATTTCTATCGGGGCAGAATTTTGAAAACTTCAACAAGTTTCCTTCTAAGTCGATCAAATTAAAATCAAAAATAAACTCGAATATCTATCCTTTTATAATTTAAATGTATTCCAGGCATAGCTTCTGAACCATAGATGATGACGTAAATTTTTTTAGAGGGGAGTGATGGCAAGATTCCGTAGGCGATCCCTGACGAAGTCAACAATTTGTTCATACTCGATCAACCTTGCGACAAGTGGCTCTAGTACAACAAACTACCGAATTTCTATGTATCTTCATAAATTTTTTGATTAAATTGGTTAATTTTTCTGCGCAACCCTGGGATTAAATATTTTTTTGAATTCCACTAATTTATACATCGATACATCAAGCAATATGAATGGTAAAATGGTTCTTGTGTATAAACAGAAATGGGGCGTTTGGTTATCAAAAATGGGAAAATTACCCCCCAAAAATGGGGAATTGTCTGTCAAAAGTAATGTACCCCGGGTAATTTTTATTTCTATAAATATTTGATTTTGTTGAAAATGTTATTATCAAACGTCGTTCATATAAAGAAGCCATAAGAAAACCATAGATTTATTGCCTAAAACGATAAAAAATAAAATTCACATATAGTTGGCGCTGCATTCTATGCAAACTTGTTTTCCGTTGCAACGGACTAAGTGGAAAGTATACGCTTATTACATAGAATGTAGCGCCAACTATACGTGAATTTTATTTTTTTATCATTTTAGGCAGTAATCTTATCGCTTCTTTGCAATATATACAATAAACATTGGATGTTTAACGTATATGTCTTTTTTATTTTATTGGTTTTGTTCGAAATGAACAATGCCGAAATCACAAATAAAATCTTATTAGAGTAAAAAAACAACATACAGAATTAAGAATTAAAACATCAAAGTGATATGTGCTGTTTTTGCTCTAAGCATTCAATGTGGTGTTTTAACTCTATATTCGCTTTAGTGCTCAATTATTTCCTATGTTGTTTTCCCAAAAAGATGTTTTTTTTTTTAAATTTGGGGCTCTCATTTCTTATTTATGTTGATTTAGATTTGTTTCGCAGTTCATCGATATTTATGCGTTTGCAAATTTAGTATTAGTAATATGGGGTATTGTTACTGTATGTGGTACAATGATGATGATTCATATTGGATTAGTTGAGTATTTCATATATTTTACATTTAATTCAATCCAAAATAAATTTCTCTTACCTATTTGTTATATTGGAAATTCAGTCACAAGACCCCGTAGACTGGCCAGCGCTTCTGATTACCATCTGGCAATTATTTTGGACATTTGCTTTTTTATTCTTATATTGTTACCGCGGCGAAGAAGTAAGCTATGCATTTGAGGAACTGGCTGATGAGATTTCTCAATGTGAATGGGACTCGTTTCCATACCAACTACAACGCATTCTACCCACTGTTTTGATTGCTGCCCAAGATTCGGTCCAAATTAAAACATATGGTTACGCTTGTACACATGAGAGATTTCAAAAGGTAATAATGTAAAGGTGTAAATATCGAATTGGATTTAAATTAATGCGACTTAAATTAACATTTTTACAGATTGTCAACGGCGGTTATTCATACTACGCTATTCTCCGCGAGTTCTACTGAGTGAATCAATCGATGTTGGATTTTTATGGAACTTAAGTATATTGGATGACAAATATGTTTTTGAAAAAGAAAAAAAAATATTTTGAATGCAATTTGCATCTTACACATATTCGCACATATTTTATCGCAAACTTTATTAATTAACACAAACTAGAACAATAAATCTGAAAAACCGGTGGGCGCTGGTGAAGCACTTTTTGTATGGAAATATTTGTTGAAAATTCAACAATACGCCACCTACAGAGTTGGTAAATGCACCTCACGAGTGCGCGCCCTTATAAGTTGTGTGCAACTCTTCTTGGGTGCGCGCACCTGATTCCATATAAATGTTGGGTGCGCGCACTTGGAATTTTTTTCTTGCTTATTTCAATATAAAAAATCGTCAAAAATGTATTTTTTACTTAATTTTTTCCATTTTGAATTTTTTCACATGCAAAAACTGTTTACATGTAAAGCAATGTGGTTCAAAAGACAACCAGCAGGCGGCTACTTGTAGCTGTCAAAATATATAAGAAACACAATTTGACAGTATTTTGTATTGATATATTGAAGATGACCAAATAAAAAATGGAAAGATTTAAGTAAAAAATACATTTTTTTCAATTCTTTATATTGAAATAAGCACGAAAAAAATTCCAAGTGCGCGCACCCAACATTTATATGGAATCGAGTGCGCGCACCCAAGAAGAGTTGCACACAACTTGTAAGGGCGCGCACTTGTGAGGTGCATTTACCAACTCTGGCCACCTATCAAAGACAATAAAGATTTTCGTTACTACTGCTATCTTAACATAGCTCTAGCGAACTATATAGCTGTATTGCAAATGTATTAGTACTGACACCGATTCTGTGTATGCGCGTGTGTTGTAAATTTTGCACAAGCAGCTACGGTTGACGACTGAGTGCCGAATTTGCAATACAAACGGACACACGAAATCAGAGTCAGTGTGTTCTTTAGTAACAAAAATCTTTATGTATTTTAATAGATGTCGTATTCGTTGAATCCGGAGCCCGATCATGGTATAGGATTTCCTATTTAAGATTTTTTATTTTCAAAAATGTAAAAAATTAAAATCTATTTATTTCTACTGTTTTATTTTAACAGTTTAACGCAGTTTAATCGATTCATTATGATTTTGCCAAACCGTAACGGCCATATTGTCACAAACGTCAATTAGTACTCGAAATACGCATTAGAGGTGTTGTTAGCTACGGGCATGATCAGGTTTCGGTTGAATCTTCAACAACTTAGTTTTCACCGAGGGCCTTAATCCACTATTTTTCAATCAAACAAAAAACTGTAGTGATGCGGGCGTATCAAAATGGAGTGATAAAGCAATAAAATGTTAATAAAACGTTTCACTTGAATAAAAATTATTCATCTAATTCGTGTACACAAACGACACCACTGCGTCTTGAAGTCAATTCGAAATTTGATCCAAAAATAAAAATTTCCAATGGATTAAATTTTTTTTAAAAGATATAATAATTATTTTCCAAAATTTATTTGGAATTTAAATCAAAAAAATAAAATTATTTACTTTGACTAAATAACACAATCTCTTTATTTTGGATAGATATTAATCCGGGCTGTTTATGAATATCTGGATATTTATTACGAAAACAATAGAAGTGTTATAACCTAGGGGGTAGACACGATTTAATGACAAAATATTGTTATAAAATTACTCATCAGAGTTACAAAGATCTACAAAGATTTGAAAAGATCTAAATTGTTTCGGAATAAATTAGATTGATTCGACCATATTTTGACAATTTGTTGTTTTGAGCTATCAGATTCCGCCATTTTGATTTTTTCTGACACTGAACGATTCACAAAGATCCAAATTTATCAAGAATGTGATGGAAGATCTTTGGGAATTTTGGATCTAAAAAGATTCATAAAGATTCAAAATATCCCCAAAGCAATAAATAGTAGAAATTCATTGTCTTTCAATTCTATTTTTGTTATTAATCATGGCGAAACTGATTCGATTTATTTATTATTGCATTAGTAGGGTAATATGATTATTGTCAACTATAGTTGGCTGCTACAGTTAACCATGGTTTATTTTAATTAAGTTAAACAAACGGCTTACCAAATTTAACTAGGAGTATTTATTTTCACAGTGCCAAAACACTCAGTCACTTTTTCTGCTCACAGATATTCACTAATCATCTATTTACTAATTTACATTTTAGAATATGAATAAATGAATAATATGTTAAATATTCAAATAAAAACCATAAATCAATAAAAAGCATTTTATTTACAAACGATTTTTGTATTTAATTTGGAAATCCATCAACCATCTTGAGTACAGTATAAAAATGGGACGAAATGGGATAAGTAGACTAAAAAAGATTAGTTTTACATTATAAATTGTCTTCTACAATTCTTATATATATATATATATATATATATATATATTATTTTCTTCGAATATATTCAAGTCATGCCAATCGTAAAACTGGAAAATAAATAGCTTCATCTGTTACGATCCCATTATTAATATAAAAATAATTGATGATCAAATAAATAAGTTCCGTTGTTTAAATAGTCCTCGTCAATTTTGATATGGAACATAATGGAACCTCTGCGACGTTTACAAACTAAATAGAACAAGCCAAATACGAAACATATGCACTTTTCATACTCTATTCTCAGCAATTTAATCATCATTTATTCTATGACGCAGTGCATTTATTATTAATCCAAATATATCCTTACGTAACGGATGCACTCCAACATTAATTGAAACTTAGATTTAGTTTTCGCTAAAAAGCTCTTGAAGATCGTCGAATCTCTCTGAACATATAACAATTACATTCGAAATTTGTGAAAAAGATTTTTCGTTTAATCAAAATGAAAAATTTCCAAATACTTATAAACCTATATGATTTTCTGGGAAAGAGAGATTCCAAGTCGCCGGATAAAAAATTGAAATTTTTCAATATTCGAAATTTAACAAACATCTTTTTTATCGCCACATTCATCATTCAATCAACCGCATTTCTTCTTATCGACGCTAAAACCTTCACTGAATATGCCAACTCAGGTTATATTTCCGTTACATCTGTGCTATTATTTTTGACCTCAATTACTGGGAAATCTGAAAAAATCTTTCCATTGTTTGAAGGCTTCGAAAATGCTATACAAAAACGTAAGAATTACATATGCTTTCTGTTGTATTGTTTAATATCGCTCAATTTCACATTTTAATAATTGATATAGGTTCGGTAAATGTTTCGTCGGCGGAAGTTTTTATGGAGTCTATAAATGGAATTGAACGTTTTTTGAGATGGCTTGATAATAGTTTCCACATAACATTTGTATGCTTGATGCTACCAAATCTCTGTTTCATGTTGTACATGATTTTTACTAAAGATCTTGAACCCGAAGATTACGTACTACCTTTTTTTGCCTGGTAAGTTTTGGTTTTGTGCACACACCTATTTATGCATTAGGCGTATTACAATCACCTAAATAGGTATCTAGATTGATATTGCTAAGTTAGAAACAAAAACACAGTTGATCTAGTTTATATTTTGAATTTCGGAACATTCGAAAATTGTTAGAATATGAGTGGATGAAAAATTAAAGTATTGTATATAACTTGCTATGTAATTGCACCGAAATGACTGAATTTCACCTGAAAGTCTTTTGTTACGGAGAACTTGTTACTGACTTAAACCACGGTACTTAAAACCATATGTGTCCATGGGAATAAAAGTGGCAATACAAAAACGGAATCTGAAGAATGTCACATAAATTTTTTTATTTATTCCCATGGATACATATGAATCATCTATTAATTGAACCGTTGAGAAACAAAGATACTTACCTTGTGACACCTATAACCATATAAACTTGCCTTGTGACACCTATTGAATAGTGAGAAAAATTGCATTTGGGGCAACCAATAGAAGTTCGAAATTAGAGAGAAACAGTGAAACATTTCATAACAAACTGCATCATAACTTAAGTTGCAGTTTGTTTCTCATTATTTTATTGTTGTTCTCTAATTCTCAACTCTTAAATGTTGACATTTGATTTACATTCCAGTTTAAGTTGAAGATTTTTTCTCAACTTTTCTGAAGGTATCTTTGTTTCTCAACGGTTCAATTGTAAAAATTATGCATCAAGAGCATTTACATTCTGCACATTTATTATTATCAAATCCAAAGGTTACCATTCAACTGGCGAACACCTACTGGTTATGCAATGGCTTTCGTTCTTCAATGTGGAAACGTATATTATTTATTCATGAATTGCATTGCACTTGCTGGAGTTTACGTAGCAGCTACTTTGATGTTAATATCATTTTCCAATGATGCTAGAGGAGAAATGAATATTATCAAGAAACTTAACAAAACTTACCTTACAAAAGGAAATGAAAGGGAAGTAGTGAATAGATTTTGCGAATTAATTCAACTCCACATCGATGCAAAACAGTTAAGTTGAATTCAATTTCTTTATTAATCAGTGCAACAACATCCACATTGTTCAAAGTATTTTAAGACGATCGGATCTATTTCCTTTCATGCTGAAACATGCTCAATTAATATTTATACTACTTTATTTATAATATTATAATTACCTCAAAATTTAAATGTACAAAAATCATTTTCTTCACGTTCACAGTACACAAAAAAAATATCTACCAACTATTTTCGTCACAAAATTATATCAGAAAGACCTCGATAGAGGTTTTTTTATTTGATATACCAATCAATTTAAGTAATTCTACTACTATTGATTTTTGTGTATATACATGTTGAATTTTGAAATTAATCTTCTATAGTTTCGAACTACCAACTTCTACTATGACTGTGGATATCACTTTTTTTTCGCATTTTATATCTAAATTTTCAATTATTATCAATACTGATTTAGATTTGTTTCGGAGTTCAACAAGATTTATGCGAAAATGATTTTGTTATTCTTAACATGGTGTATGGTTACTGTGTGTGGAACGCTGCTAATGATTCAAATTCAATTGGTTGAGTATTTCATATATTTTACATTTAATTCAATCCAAAATAAATTTCTCTTACCTATTTGTTATATTGGAAATTCAGTCACAAGACCCCGTAGACTGGCCAGCGCTTCTGATTACCATCTGGCAATTATTTTGGACATTTGCTTTTTTATTCTTATATTGTTACCGCGGCGAAGAAGTAACCTCTGCATTTGAGGAACTGGCTGATGAGATTTCTCAATGTGAATGGGACTCGCTTCCATACCAACTACAACGCATTCTACCCATTGTTTTGATTGCTGCCAAAGAGTCGGTCCAAATTAAAACATATGGTTTCGCTTGTACACATGAGAGATTTCAAAAGGTAATAATGTAAAGGTGTAAATATCGAATTGGATTTAAATTAATGCGACTTAAATTAACATTTTTACAGATTGTCAACGGCGGTTATTCATACTACGCTATTCTCCGCGAGTTCTACTGAGTGAATCAATCGATGTTGGATTTTTATGGAACTTAACTATATTGGATGACAAATATGTTTTTGAAAAAGAAAAAAAATATTTTGAATGCACTTTGCATCTTACACATATTCGCACATATTTTATTGCAAACTTTATTAATTAACACAAACTAGAACAATAAATCTGAAAATCTTACTTTTCACCGAGGGCCTTAAACTACTATTTTTCAATCAAACAAAAACTGTAGTGATGCGGGCGTATCAAAATGGAGTGACAAAGCAATAAAATGTTAAGCGACACCAATGGATCTTGAACTAAATTCGAAATTTGATCTGAAAAAAATCCTAATGGACTGAAATAAAGTTAGAAGGCTAACCAAATTTAAGTTAAATTGTTTATTTTCACAGTCAACAGTCCAACCAATTTGTCCTATCAATTTTTTTACAAGAGATTTACTAATCTACTTGTGTGAGTCAACTCTTTTCAACAATTTCCATTAATGCAAATATGTTCCGTATTTTTATTATCTATCGATTTTTTCTCTACATTTGATAAGTTTTTATGTGAAAGTCAATTCGTAATCAGTCAAAATAGGAAAATGTGCAAGAAAAAAAAAAGAGTAAATGTTCTAGCGATAAAGTTTTGATATTTTACCGATACACTGCAAAATTAATTGATTTAGTTTTCGCAAAAAAACACATAACAATTACATTGGAAAATTAAAAACAGTTAGTTGATGGAATTAAACATTTTTTAAAATTGATGTACAATATCATAGTTCCCAAATAACGTTTTTATGCTAACGTAGCGTCACCAAATCTCGTTTTCATTTTGTAAGTGTTTTTTTTCTCTAAAGGTCTTGAACCTCACTATGATGAACACGCACCATTTGCAATTTTGTATACAATCAATAATCGATTTGGTTGAGTGGAAGCATACAGCTTTAGATTTCATTGAAATTCAAAGGATCAAAATCAATTTTTCTCATTTTTACCATTAAAATATTTAAAATCGAGCAAGTTATTATATAAAACGCGTCATGAATTATTTTTCAATAGAAACTTGCTCGGTTTCCAATATTCAGAACAAATAAAAACAAAAAGAAAAAAATGTCTTTACTTTGATCCGTTGAAATCTAAAGCTGAACCTCTGGTATCACATGCTTAAACCAAATCGATTATTGAATTTTAACAGGCGAAATGTTTATTTGTACAGATTCCCTACAAAATTACAAATGGCGCGCATTAGCTTCGGTAAATAATTAAATCGAACGCTGAATTACTTAATTAATTTACCATACGAATGGTGAATTTGATAAAATTAAAACAAATGAAATAATTTAAACTATATTGTTCTGCTGCTGTGAGGTGCTAATTTAAAAAAATTTATTTAGAAAAAACCTTTGGTGTTTTGATTGGTTCACATTGTGTCAAAAAAAAAATACTTTCATTCGACAATAGTTCAAATTTGGAGAATATTTTATGAAATATGCGTAAGAAGTGCACTTGAGTTTTATTTGAATTTCACTTTGAAATTTGCTTTACTTTGATTCTACAAATTCAATGAAATTTTTTTGCTCCGAGAATACACGAATTAAAAATTCTCCTTCTTCATTTGGCTCAAATGTTGATGGTACAATTAAGTAATGACCTGGTTTCAATTTGAAGCGGCAAGTAACCTCACGCAAGTTTATAAACGCAGGTGCTCTAGCCACTGAAGCATTATATTTGAAAAAATTCATTTCGAGTGGTTTGTTTGGCAAATGGTTGTCGGTAACGCGATAAATAGCAAAGCCCATTGTTAAACAGTGCATGCCCATATTTTGTCTGGATCTTCGATTTTTCTGCATCAAAGCAACAATGATTGTACACAAATCTTCGTCGTCATCCTCGTCTGGATCCTCCAAAGTTACAAAGTATTGTGGATTTTGTGCAAATGTGGCCAAATTATTACGACAACCACCTGCGGACACTCCTTTAATCCACTGCCCTTCAAACACTGACGACACCCATCTTTTTCGACCATTATCAACTTTATCTTCGCTCAACGAGTCGGGGCTCAAACTGCAAATTTCAACTCTGTCAAAGTGTTTCAACCAATCATGATAGGCCATCCAAAATTCACCGTCCGAATCAAAGTTCAATCCGATTTCTTGCTTCACGTTATCTGGTATGAGGCGCCATACAGCTGATTTGTCGCTCCAAGGTCCGTTCCATTCGGCATCATTACCCCATGGATTTCGAAGCCGCACCATTTGAATTTTGCCAGTTGTATTTGGTGTTACAATGTCCATGAGTGCAATCTTAGTAATTGAATAGGCATGACTAGAAATTTCGTATATAAAAAAAAATCACATTTAAAATGTTCATTTCGAACTTCGATTCAAATAGCCCTACCCTCTTATCAGACCAAATTTCGTTTCAGCTTCTAATACACTTGGATCGGCTTCAATACTACATGCCATCATTGAATCACGTTCATGTCCTTTAATTAAAATATCGAAAAGATTTGCTGGTGCCTCCTTCAGTTCATACATTTCAGTTACACCGCCAGTAAAATCTTCCATAGCTTCACACGTAGAACCACCTCTCAATGCCTCATAGCTGCCGTGCAATTTCGCGTAGGCTTTTTCGATTCAAATGAAAAAAAAATGAAATTTACTGAAGGTCTGCAAATCCAAGATTATCGATTACCTTTTTCGAGCAGTACACTCCAAAATTCATTATCTTGCGATGAATGCATATACAAAAGTTCGCCATGATATGTTGGAAGACGATCATCAACACAAACATCAATCCATTTACCAAATTGCCAAAATCGAAAATGAAAGATGCCCGCATAGTTTTCGTCAAAGCTTTGATCATGCGGAACAACTCGAACAAACATTTCGGAGTTTTGTGTCAACGCTGCAGCTGCGGCGAGAAACCTAAAATAGTCTTTCTCTTAATTTTTTTTTATTTATAGTCGCGCTTTCATTAAAAGTTTATTTTATTTTGCTCAGTAATAAAATAAACTTAAAAGTTTAATTAACTAACTAACCAACAATCGCCGAGCTCTCCTTGTTTTACATCAAATCGCGAAAAACCATCGACAAAAAATTGCGGAATTTCAACGATTTCTTTAGGGCGCAACCATTTTATTTGACGACTAGTTTGCGTCGATAATTGCAACGATGACTCATTAGCGGGAAACTCACTATCTTCAAAAAGTATTTGATTTTTCAGACAATCAGTTCGCAATGTATCGAAATCTTGTTCTTTAAAATCTAGCTCATCTTCAGCTGCTTTCGGATCGTCGCTTGGGTCAGCCGGTTTTTGATCCTTGCTCGTATCACTTGTTGGCTCCAAATTGGCGGAATCATCATTTGGTTTGACTGTTTTTTCTTCCAACACAAGTGATTTTCGAAAAGCTCCACAAATGCAACGCATATTTTGATTGATTACAAAGCTTGTGTGTTTGTTAGTTTTTTATTCTCGCGTGATATGTATTTAAATATAAATGTTCACTTGTATATATGCCGGTATCTTCTGTACTTTCTTCAACTATTTCGCTTAGTCTCCTTTTGTTTATCTTTCTTCTATCATTGAACGATTTAAACACACTATGTTTTGACAAACTATATCATACTGAATGCCAAAATGAATTTGCCTCTTAGTTATCATACCATTATGCTAACAAATTCGCTATTTAGCATTATGACTGAGTAATGGAGGCGACAAATGATGCTCTTGGGAATATAATTCAGTGCATTTAAAAGCGACGCTTTCTAATTAAAAGAATTACATTGTGATGTCATGATGCGTGTTTGGTTTGATTTTATTACAATGGGAACGGTCAAATGTGTGAAAGTAACGGAAATTCGTATTGAAGAAATATTTGCTTGAGCATTTTTTGCAATTTTTGGAATGACATTGCTATCTAGGTCATCGTCAAGGGGCAAGGCCATAGAAAAACAAGGACTACACCTAGCAAATCCGAATAATTTTCCTTCTTTCAAACGAGGACATTGCGCTCAGCGTCCACCACTCCCCTTGTGGACGCCCCTGCAAAACCTATTCAAATAATAAAAAATAACTAACGAATTGATGATAATTGAAGGTTTTATTGGTTGAATGTACTGGATTGTTTTCCCCTTGGTTGTCATATTTACCATATGATATCAACAACATCAAACACTGATTGTTGTAAGCACCACCGAGCATACCGACTCAAAGTTAATTATATCGTGTTTTATTTGATCTAATTAAAAAAATGAAAACACTTAAAATTGCTAAATATGACGCTGTCTTATTTCACCAGTGATATTTTTGTCACACAAATGCTCCGAGTCCATCCGGCACTTTCCTGGTATTCACGTGCAGAACTTGCAAAATTATTCGGAATAAGTATTCACTAGTCTTCGGTACCCCATGACCACCGCAGCTGTTCCATCATGTATAAATAAAGGTAAATAGGTGTTATGCAAATAAAAAAAGAGTCCATTGCAATTAGTTTTATAATTAGTTTTACTTTATTTGCATTGTTTGCCCCCATTCCCAATTGAAATATCAGAATTTGTAAATGGAATTGATTATATTTTCCATTTGAATTAAAAAGCTACAATTGGTTTCTGCATTTTACATTTCACATTCTTGTTATGACTATCAAGATAATTTAAATGACATTTTCTTGCTATTCCAAAGTCCTATTGAAACGATCGCCATTTATGTTATAAGTTGAACACTATTTTCTTTTGGTCATATATAATAATGTCATAATTTCTATTACAAATTCTGTCTGTTTGGGTGTCGAATTACAACAATTCTTTGCTGTATACTGATTCATGAATATTCGTTTCAATAGTTTTAATTTAAAATGTAATTGAAAAGATATAGTTGATGAACAAATCAACTAAATTGATGAAATGACAATCAGGAATAAAAACGTGTTATATTATTTATATATATAATTTTTTTTTTTAAATTGGAGTGTGCTTTATACGTGCGCAATCACACACAAGAGAATGATGCGCTGCCAATGGAAACTGTTTTACGCGATGAATATTAATTTACAGGAAATCGTCTGGTTCACGTGGTGCATCCAAATCTCGATAGTGAATGATTGGACGATAATCACCGCCACCACCATGATTTCCGCCTCTGTGAAATAGAAAATTTTTGTATGAAAAAAAATGGAAAATGCGATAGTTTTATGAAACAAGTTGACAACTGGACGATTCAAACGAATTGGAGAAAAATGGACAAATTTAGCTGTTGTAATGATTGTAAATGTAATTAAATATGGAGATAATGGTGAAAATCTCAATGAATCAAACGAAATTAAAACAAAAGTAAAACAACAAAAATGTACGGTTGACACTGATTTGAACCACTTTTTTCTCGTTCATTTATTATTACTTTTTGCAACGATATTTGTCTTTTCTTTTTTGCTAAAATCATAACAATTCATTTCACAAAATTAAAAACTGATCATGTACGGTAGGTTTGATTAAAAAAAAAAAATATATGGTCTAGCATCGTAGATCGCTTTGTTCAGCACACGTAAAAATCATTTCCTATTTATATTTTGACGCTAAAATCGGTTGTTTTCGTTTGTAAATGTTGCAGTTATTGGTGATAAAGTTAAAAGTCAAACGTTAAGTTTATTATTTAGATGAGTTTTAAAAAATACAAAAAAATTATGAAATAATTTTGTGTATGTGTGTTTATCGAATTTCGAGTTATTTGTATTGCTTTTTTTACTGAGGTACAATGTGCATTTAATATTGCAACATTGTAAGTTGTTTGGTTTCACTTTGTCTGTGTCCATTTTAAAATTTTGTACAGATTTTTCTGTATGTTTGGGAGGAACGTGGTCTATTGTTTCTTAAAAAAATTAAGAAAAGAGAGTTGTTTCTAAATCATTAAGTGGCGCGTCCAAGTCTTGGTAACCAATTATACGTCTTTGATGCTCCATGGGCAACTCTCTGCAAAAAAAAAATCCACAACAACAAGAAGCAATGAAACAAAAGAACTCAAACAGAAAAAATAAATAAAAAAAATGTTTTAAACACGTTCAAAAGACACAGTAATACATCCGGTGTGTGTATTAAACAAAAGTACAATCTCATTCATAGCTTATCGTACTAATGTATTAATTCCATCGATATGCTGAGTTTTTTTTTTCTAAATTAGTCCATTTTCAAGATTGAATCCGTCCCAGTTGGAATTGGGTTAAAATGCGACATTTTTTTCTTACCTTCGTCCACCGAATCCACCTCTCGATCGCATTGGAGCGGGCATGTGGCCGCCATAGCCACCATATGGTGGTCCATATCCAGGTCCTGGATAGCCAGCAGGTCGCATACTGCAGAAATATTTAAAAAAAAAATCGATTAGATCCAATTGTTTACCCCCTCTTTTCAATTGTAGTTTTCTTTTTTCAATAATAATGTTACCTTGGTGGTGGTTGTGCTTCGGCCGGCGGTTTTTTCGTATTACCAGGATGTTCGGGTAACTGTGGTCGTTTCGGATCTTTTAAATAGTTATTAAAATATTCGACTTCTTTCTTCACTTCATCCACTTTTTCGCCGTGCTTATTGAAAATGTGCTTGCGAATGAATTCGGGCCCTTTGAATTTTTTCCCAGACAACGGACAAAGCCATTTATCTTTCGCCAATTCCTGTGTATTTGCCTGTACGAATTTTTCCACTTCGGCATCGGTATCTTTGGCGCCGAGCTTTTTCAATTCGGTATCCGACAGTGGTACACTTTTTGTCAAAAACGATGACATTTTACCTTCAAAATTGCGTGTGTAATCTTGAATTTCATTGTTTGTCACTTTATTTTGTGGTGGTGGTCCACGTGCATGAATAATTCCACAACGATTTGGCATTTCATCTTCGTACGGATACTCGCAATGATTGTAAAAATCCACCGAATGCACGATACGTAAATACAAAATCAATTTATCGAGCACATTTATCAATTGTGCATCACGTTCCAATGTTTCACCTTCGATATCCTTTGTTTCGCTCGTTGACAAACCGAGTAGCTCTTCTTCTTCGGCCGATGCTTCTTCGATCAAATAATCGGTGATATTTTGCAGCACCGGATTATTTGAATTTAAACCAAACGATGTTTGATTGCCATTCGATGATTTATCATTGTTTTCATCAATCCATAGATTTGCCTTTTGATCTAAATTATGAGCAATTTTTGCGCACAATTTTATATCGCTTCGTACGATTGTTTTGTGAGCAGTAATTCCATTGACCGGACGAACGCGTCGACTTAAATCGCGATTTACAATTGCACCCAATTCACAGTCACGCAATCGAATATTATTTAAATTCCAGCAAATTTCCTTGATATTTGTGTCACGTTTGAATGTGACCCAACCGCGACGGAACCATCTTCGTTCGACCAATGGATCGGCAATTGCAACTCGCAAAAATCCATTGTATCGCTTGCACATCGCTTCAACTTCACTCTTTGTTATGGTTGGCGCCAAATTTCGCAAAAATATTGAGCTAGTCTTGTGCAATGCTCGAGCTCCCGGTTTTTCATCAGTCTCACTCTTTGAATCGGCTATTCATACGCAATTGCAGATAACAGTTTTAATAACAATTTTAATGTAAGAATTTACTAATCACAGAAAAATATACTATGCATTTACCTAAGTCAATAGTTTCTGGTGCATCGGTTGCTTTTGATTCATCACCCGATAGATCGGCAATTTCTCCATCGGCCAGTTCTTTGCCATCGTCGGCATCTTTTTTACCCTTTTGTGATGTGGATTCATCATCGTTTGGCGAGCCATTATTTAAATTTTCCACGTTTTTAGACTCTGGCATCGCTTCATCATCGTCATTAACAATTGTTTCTGTTTGCTTGGATTCGGGTAAGGCTTCATTTTTGTTACCAATTTCAGCCGGTTTCTCTTGCTCTTCATCATCTTCGTCGTCTATTGAAAATAAATTATTTTTTAAATTGATCGTTCAGTGTCGTGTGTATGAATAATATTTGCTGGCTTTTTTAAAGGAAAATCTGAAAATAATTACCGCTCGTAGATGAACTGGAGCCGGAACTTGAGCTTGAGCCAGATGTAGTGCGTTTTCGTTTTTTGTTGACTTTTTCTTCAGTGTTAGCCGGTTTGTCACCTGAATTTGTGTCATTTGCTGTGTTTGCATCAATTTCCTTAACATCGCTGCTGTCTTCATCATTTTCATTTACTTCATCGCCATCCGTCTTTGGTTCGGCGGCAATTTGTACGGTTGCCGCTTTGGCTGCAGCAACGGTTGACAATAACGTCTCTTTTGTTGGTTCCGGTTTATACTCAACATTTGTTCGTTCATCCAGTATTTTTAAATCTTCATCGGTGCCACCTTCTAATTTAATAACAACCGTATCTAGCACACGCAATAATTTATCCGATTGATTTGTGTCAACGTTCACGCTTGTCACCAGCCCAGTATCTAGTACCTCCGAAAATACATCGGTTCGTTTCTAAAAATTGACGTTAAATATATCAATTTGATTTTTTTTTTGATATATTTTTTTAGTTCAACCATAGCTTCTGATCAGGAATCATTTCTTAGAGACCAAATTACCCTCCCTCTCTTGGTGCACCACCGTCAGAAGCTATGACTTCACTGCGGTTGTAATTACCTTCAGAAAATCCAATTGCTCTTGTTTCCGTCTCATCGAATCTTCGGGATGATACTTCAATTTGAACCTAAACAAAAAAAAAATCCCATCGAAAACGAAACGGAAATGGCAGAATAGAAGAAAAACAATACGGATCATTATTTTTTTTTGTAAACAACGTCATTCATAAATCGTTTGAGAAAATTATCGAAATATTTTGAACAAAAAAGAAACACAGCAAACACTACTAGTTGAAAAACAAATTATTTTCTAAAGAAAAAAAAATATGTCCGAAGTTAAGGCTCTTCAATTGAACAAGAAGGAACATAGTTTTTATGTCGAGCTTATTTCTTGAACCTTGTATTGTTTTCATTTTCCCTAAATATTTCAATTCATTTTTTTCGTCAGACTTTTTGACATAATTGGTTTTCGAAAAATCACGTGACCGAAGTCCATACGGTACACATTGAAAGAATTTTATAAAACGTGTCAATTTTCGATTTGCTATTCTATATCTCTCTGTCTCATTGTCTGTCTGTGTATTTATATTAACTTAATTACTTTTGCCCACCTCTACCTTTTTTTTGTTAAAAATCTTAATGTTTTTTTTGCCTCATTGTGAAAAAAATGCCATCATTGATTTAGTTTTTTGAATGGTAATCAAGTAATTAATTTCTTTTCTTAATTTAAAAGAAACGTATTTGATTCTTACCTCTTTCGCTTAATATACTTTTTTTACTTGATTTTTTTTCATTTATTTAAATTTTTCTTTTGTTAAAGTTTTGAGTGCTTTCGTGATAAAAAATTGTTTTGTTTCTTTTTTGATTATTATTTTAGTTTTTCTGGTGTATAAAAATTGCATAACTTTTTCGTATCATTTTTCATGAGTTTCATTTTTGTTCATTTGCATGTTCATTTTTCGATTTTTGCGTGTATAAAATTATAAATCAATAGATAAACTTTTATATTTATTTGGCATTGCTCGCCAAATCGTAAGCGATTTGTTTGTTTTGCATAGTTCCTGTACATGATGATTGGGGAAAAAAAGGTTTAATTGATTATAAATCATAGTATCATTTGGTTATGTGTTTGTTTTTTTTTTTTTTTTTTTTTGATTTGAATGTAATGCTGATAATTGCAGTTGTATAGTCACTCTATTCGCTCTGCGTCCCTTTCGAGACTCTCAACTAAAGAGGAGACCATTTTCATCATATTTCGTTGCATTTCTTTAAAACATTCGATTTGAGTTTGGGTTTTTTTTTTCGTCTTGTCAGCTCATTTCATATTTTCATTGAGCATATATGCATATGTGACGTGTTTGGTTTTTTTTTATTGTTCTCATTCGCGGATCGAATAAATGTTCGGGGCATATAATCATTACTATTGAATGTCAAATCCAAGTCATATTAAAATTCGCATAAAATTCGATCTCTTTTGTTTTCCTGCTCAATTTTTTTTTATCTTTGACGTAAAAAAATTTGGTTGAAATGCTGCAGAGAAAATTTATTTAATATAGACACGAATTTTTTTTTTTCATTTGAATTAACAAAAAAGAAATCGGCTGCATTTTCGGGAAGAGAGTTAAAGAAAATGAAAAGAATAAAAGGCTTATGATATTTTACGGATAAACTTATAGAGTTTATGTATACACGTACACACTCACATCCGCACAGCAAGCATTGATTCATTCGATTGACACACATGGTGCAATGACGCTCTCAAACTTGTGAATGAAGCATAGAAAATAAACAATTAAAATCGCAGCACACTTTTCTTGTCATCAACATTGTGTTTGCAAATGGATTGAGTAGATTGATTTGCAAAAGTTAAAAAAAAAGAAAATTATGGATCGACTCAGTCATGAATAAAAAAAGGGGCGAAACCAACAATGTGGTTTGTTTTGTTTTTTGTTCTCTTAAAACAAAAAAATGTAAGCATTTCTTACCATTCTTCATCTTTGTGGGCTACGAAAAATTCGTTGAGCTGTTGACGCTTGAATTCCACTTTGTATTCGTTATATTTTTCAATGGCATCTGAATCGGAAATCGAATCATCCTGCGTGGCCAAAAATTGTTTGAGCGTCAACATTGCGGGCTGCGTCTGTAGATCAGGGTTTGGCAATGGTTCAGCACCACCCAATCTATTCGAGAAAAATATAGTCAGAGGGAGAAAAACAAAAAAAAAATGTCGAATATTCGTTTAATTCTGCGTTTTTTCTTCTTATTATTGGATATTATGTATATTTACCGTCCATGAATTCCACCTGATGGAGGTGTATTGCCAAAATTTCCACCAAGATGTTGACCATGCGGTGGGTAGCCAGGTTCATGCATCCATCCACCATAGCCACCTCCAAAACCATCGTGACCTATTTAGAAACAAAAATTCGGGAAAATATGAGAACATAGCAGTATGTAAGGCCATGAATGTATACACGGAAAAAAGGCGCACATACCGTGATAACGTCGATCATCACCAGGCCAATCGTTTCGCATTCTTTTCATTGGTGGTCCTCGATCTGGTGAAAATCTATCTCGTGGCCGATATTCACGATAGTCTGGACGACGTCTGAAAAATAATATATTTTCATGAAACGATAAATACTTGACCATTCATTTTTCTTGTCATTTAAATTGTATGAAATATTTACCTATCGGGCCAATCCTCTCTGCCTCGACGATCATCTCTTCGATCCGAACGATAATTGTCACCGGAGCTACGTTCACCACGGAATTTATCTCGCCGCTTGCGATCGTATTCATCATCTGAATCACCCATTATGTCTGAAATTTATTCTTTAATTTAACAACACTTTACTTTTCAATCAATCGCAAATGAAATTGTATGAACAAATAAAGTTCTTCGTAAAAAAAAATAACGGGACCAGAAGAAAAAATCAATGTTCAATTTATGTTACTAATTATATGTGATTAAGGAGAGATCATAACCTCAAAAAATTTTTTTATGTCGTTTGGTGTCAATGTCGGAATACTGGCACTCCACCGTTTTTTTTTGTATTAATCTCGTTTATTTTCCTCGCTTTTTCCTTCTCAATAAATTCGTTCAAATCAAATACACTATACAAATAGTTTAAAAATAATTTCACTGATGCAACAACAATTTCACCGGAAAAATATGCGCTAAGATTTGTTATAGTGGCATTTGCATTTATGTATGCATATTATCAAAATAGGTCATTCACCGGCCACATCACTTTGATGAAAACTAATGGTAAAGCGTGGTGGAATGGAATGAAAAGGAGAAAGAGAGTGCAAAAAAAATGAGAAACTATTACAGCAACAATAACACATGCAATATCTCAATTGGCAATGACGCTCTTCAATTTTTTTTTCTTTGCTCACATGAACGCATACAACAACAGCGTCATCACATTGCTCCGTACTGAATTTATGCCAAAATGTATACACATATACACACCCAAGCATACATACACACGCATGCACACATGCAAACTGCACTATATCGTCTGTATCAGAAAGCACGCTTTCAAACCAAATTTTATGGCGCTCATTAGGAGCGCGGCGACATTGATAGTTGAATAGAAAAATAGTGAACAACCAGTCTCAAGCAACAAACTTATTCTATGCGTTCTCATTTTTACCGACATTCACAAACACACTCATTTGCCCATATAGCGGCAAAAATGTGCACATATACATCACATAAAGTTCTTTTATAAAACATACCAAAATTTCAAAGCAATGACAAAAAAACAAGAAATTTCGAATAAAAATCGATTTGCAATTAATTACCTTGTAATTTTACACCAAGCTTCCAAGTGACAAATAAGTAAAACTTACAATACTTTCTATCGAAATTCGTTCGTTTGAACGATACGAAAAACAAATACACGGCTCTAGACACGAAAAACTGACTGTAATACTTTTGGTAATGTCAAGACCACTAGTATTGTCTGATGGAGAGCGCCACAGTCGCCTACTCCTTCTTTTTCTTCTCTCGAATTGAAAACTACATTGGGCCATTCCACCACGGTGGTACACGATGTGGTGAATTCTCATTTGCATTCCATGGAAATGCGTCGACGCCTTTTCTTTTTTGTTTCATACAAAATTTAATAATTCATGGATAGTGACATCATCACAAAAAAATATACACCAACTGGTTATTAAAAATTAATAAAATGTTTTTATTTTAATATTATTATTTTGAAATGAATAAAAGGAAAAAAAAATTAGACTAAAATTTAACATTTGAATCAATGAAAATGGAGACGGTCACTACTTTTTCTTTCCTGGTTTGCCTGTTTTTCGTGGTGCACGAAAGTTTTTGCCTTTGTTAAACTTATTTTCGCCAGCTTTGTTAGTGAGTTTAACTTTGCTTGTCTTCTTCTTGGCATCCAATTTTTGCGTTTTCTTGTGTGAATTGGCATCGTACCTGTTGGGTGGCAACAATGAAATATTTATGAATATGATTTAATTGAAATAAATTTGATATGTAAATACCTAAGTTTCTTGGTATTACGACGACTGGTATTGGTTAAATCAACCGAGAATTTTGATACTCGTTTATTTTTATTATTTGCCATGTGTCGATCATTGTTCATTTCGTCAATTTGCCGAATTCGTTTGGTTTTGTGTGCAATTTTACTAGCTTTGGCACGAAGGAATGAAATCTTCTCTTGATGATCACGAACCTTTTGTTTGGCCATTTGTGATGGTGTTTTCTTGGCCGTTGCTTCTTCTTTCTTTTTTCGTTTCGATTCGCTTAATTTGCTAAGATCCGATGTGGTGGCTGTACGTTTTCCATTTACATTTTTCGCTGCTTCGGTTGCTTTGAAATTATTATCCAATCGTTCTTTTTCTTGTTTGCGTTTTTTCATCGATTGGAACCATGTACGCTCTCGATCGCCCATACCTCTTAATGATAATTCTTGTTTGGAAATTTGTTGTTCCATTTTTGCAAACATTCGTTCATCACGTTCTTCATTTAAAATTTTCCCTAAATAAATTCAAAATAAAAAGAAACAATTTAGTAAAAAAAAAATATCATTGATATGGAATGAAGTGAACTCACTGATTTCTGGTTCTAGTGCTTCCATTTTCTTTGTGTATTTATCAAGAATTTCGGTAGGAATGATACGATTTTTGACGGGTGTTTCGGCACTTTTGATAATATCTTTGACTAGTTTACGTTCGCGTTCATCGGCCAATGATACGGAAATACCGGCACGACCAGCACGCGCTGTACGACCAACACGATGAATATAATGTTCCGTTGACAATGGCATATTAAAATTAATAACCGTTTTAACGCCAACAATATCCAAACCACGTGCCGCCACATCGGTTGCAATCAGTACATCAATTTGCTCCTCTTTGAATTGTTTCAACGATTCAAGACGTTGTTGTTGTGTTAAATTACCGTGTAATTCGCCGGCTTTAATGCCCAACAAACCAAGTAAAATGTGTAAACGATGCGCTTGACGCTTGCGTTGCACAAAAATCATACAGTGATCATGAAATGTTCGGCAAATTAGAGCGGCCAAAATTGGTTCACGATCTCGGTCTTCGCGCTCTTTTTCATCACGCTCTTTCATCAATTGGAGATTTTTACCGCCACGTCTTTGTGGACCCTTACCACGTCGATGATGCTTTTTATTCGAACGCTCTTCTTCGTCCGAATCGTCTGCAGCACCAGCATCAGCACCCTCTTCATTGTCCTCCTTATTTCCGTTTTCAATTGGTTTTGGATCGGCCCGTTTTCGTATACGAATAAATTCCTGACGCAAATTAAACGCAACCGTTTGATTTGTATTCACAAACACTTTAACCGGTTTGTCCAATGAAACGGCGGCCAAGTCTTTAACTTGTTCGCTCATTGTGGCCGAAAATAACATTGTTTGTCGGGTGCGTGAACAACTTTTGATAATCTCTTTCATTTGTTCGGCAAAATATTCATCCAACATTCGATCAGCTTCATCTAAAATCAGCACCTAAAATGTCCATTTTTAAAAATTATTTATTGGCATTCTTTGCGGAAAATCGAAATTTATTTTAAATTCATCATTCAATTGGTCAGATCGAGTTCATTGTTTCGCTCGGCGAAAACGCATAAACTTTTAATCCAAATAGTCATCCGGTGTGCTCAGAGCGCAAGGATTATCATCATATCCATTGAATTTGTGATTTTCTTTTTTTTTTCTCGTTTTCAAATAAATCCGAATAATTACCTCAATTGAATCCAATGTAAAGCTGGGTGTATTTTTGATGTGATCAATAAGACGACCTGGTGTGGCAATAACAATGTCTGGATTTTGTCTCAATATTGTTTCTTGTGCTTTCAAATCTAAACCACCGATTGCCAAACCCATTTCGATGGTCGTAAATTGACACAATTGCTTCGACACCTGATATACTTGAGCGCCCAGCTCACGAGTCGGCACCAATACCAATACACGGGTCACCGATTGATTGTTGGCCGGTCGATAAAGTAAACGTTCAAGTGTCGGTAACATATAAGCGGCCGTTTTACCCGTACCCGTTGCTATAAATACATGAACGAAATTTTCATGCGAAACATTTAAACAATTACGTTTCAAAAAAAAAAAAATGTCATCAATTACCAGCACAACCGCAAATATCACGGCCCAAAAGAGCAATTGGGATGGTGGAAGCTTGAATTGGCGTTGGGTATGTATAGCCAAGAACGCCAATTGCTCGCATCAATGGCCGCGACAAATTCATTTGATAGAATGATGATACTGTTGCGCTACCGTCAGCCTCTTCAAAGAAGTCGGCATCATTGTTTTCACCATCACTGTCCGGCATGTCAAGCCCTTTGCGTTGTTTCTTCTTACGTTTTTCTTTCAATCGCAAATTATCGTGTTTCAACTCATCTTCGGATAAATCGAATTCATCCTCATTTTCCTCATCATCATTGTCGTCTGATTCGTTCAGCCCATCATCCGTACGATTTTTCAATGTTTCGGCAATTTTATCATCGGTCTTTGTACGTGCCTTTCGTTTCACATATTTCATCAAATCATCCCATGTGTCATGATTGTATTGTTTTACTGACGAAACAAACTCAAAACTATCGCTGAACTCTTCCTTTTTCTTTCGTCGCATTTTTGTTGGTTGATACTGAAATTAAAAATAAAAAGAGACACAAACAACCACATTTAACATTTTGATTGAAAACGATGAGCACATTTTGGCTTTTTTTGCTTCATTATTTACCTCGACTTCAGCATCGGAATCATCGGAAAAATTTTCCACTTCTGCATCTTCTTCAATCGTTTTGATCAAATCCATCTTATTTCTATTTATGACAAGAAGAAAAAACTGCGGAAAAATGGTATGAATCCGCGAATAAAATACTCTGCAACAGCCGGGTATTACAAAAAAAGTATTTTATATTCGTCGCACAATGTTGTGTACAGAAATTTCACGTGGTATGCTAGTGACATTTGACATTTTGAATATCACCATCATTGTCGTTCGCTTCGGTGTGGTGAATATACGCCTATAATGGTAGATTTCGCCTAAATGAATGCTTTTTGCATTTAAATGAAATATTTTTTTTTTTCAATACATTTTTTTTATTTCAAATTGCATCAAACAAAAATACACTCAAATATTTGTTGTTTTTAATTTTTTAAATTGGTTACTTTTTACTACTTATCGGTTCCATGTGTTAAATATGAGAACGTGTGTTTATTTCAAAGCCGAAATCGTTTGGAATAAATTATTGTCACAAGAGTCTAATCTGCTTTAAATCATTCGGTTCATTTGGTAATAATAGTATTAATGGTTGTTGATCGTCATTGTCATTGCAATTAACAAAGGTCATCGTCAGTTTTGAGAAGGTCAATCTGGAATGGTCTTAATGAAACCTGCAATATATCTGAATTAACACGAAGGACCGTTACGATACACATTTGCCGCTTTACAACGATAAATGCGTTCATTCTTCTCGCTAATCAGATTTGATGTGAGCAACGATGGGGCTTCGATTGCATGGCATGCACGTGTTGAATGAACCAATGCATTGGAACCTGTTTGTTGTTATGCTTATCGAATTTTTGTTTACATGTTACGACCGCTGCCCGTTTGTTGCATTTCTACATGCATACATACAAACACAAACACAGCCGCCACTGAACAGTTTACACTTGGTATCGGCAGACTTTTCGGCATTTCAACACCTAATTTTATTTTCTAAATTGATCACTAAAAATAAATCGTGACTTTATCGCTAATGCGGCTTTTATGATAATTTTCACCGCAAACACTTTCTCACACTATAGACATTTTGGGATTCTCTTAGAGAACTTTTAAGTTACCGCCTGGCAGGAACACAGAGAAATTTTTTCATGTGAACATCTTGAAATTAAGTTTGTTTGTTATTTTTTAAAGCGCAGAATTTCGCAACAGACAACATAATCGGCACATCAACAGAGAGTCGAACCGATTTTCAGCGTTAATTTTAACGTTTTCGATGGGGTTGTTTTTTGGAAACATAAATCGAATTTTATGAGTGGATTTTCTGAAACAAATTGTTTTTTGTTGCGTAATAAATTGTATTTCATATAATAACCGTAGAAATGAAGCCATGTAAAGTGAGAAAATGAAACTAAAATTGCGAATGTGCAATAAAAATCTATTTCCGTCGACCAAATTGGAAATGGCAAAGAGTTAGTATTTATTTTCATCTGATTTAAGCAATAAAAAAGGTGATTAAAATACACACCCAGGAATTTAAATATCCGCTGTATGGTGGTCAAATTCTTTGGCAAATTTCGAAGGCATTTGAATGAAACGTTAGACTTTATATATAAGGAAATGTTGATTAGTTGGTCGTTATTAGAATTGCAACGGTATTCATAATTTGAATTCGGTTTTAATGCCATTTTACCCTAAATGTAAACGAACACGGCCGAGTGATTCATAGTAAAAGAGTTTGTATTTAAAACTATCCACCATAAATGTAATGTGCCGCACATGATGACATTGTCTATGATTTTGTAATAAAGAAAAAAATTCTAGCAATTTAATTAATCAATTTAAAATATGTTCACGTTCGACTTTATCTATTCAATAATAAGATAGGAGAAAAATTTAACTGAATGAAAACAAAACCCAACACACACTCGTACAAAAGAGAACAAAAAAATGGTTTTCATTTGACTTATTTGGTCATAGCGCATAGCGCTAACTGTATCTTTCATCATTTAACTCTCTAAGTAAGTCCGTTGCTTTATTTATTAACCATTTGTGCATGTGCGTTAAAGAATGTCACAAGTCGTTAACATTAGGAAAAAGAACGTTCGCACATAGAAACAACGACACACACACACACACAAGAACGAAAACAAAAAAAAAATTGTGTAAATGAAAAGCCGGTATAAAGTGCTCAATGCTTATGGAATGAAACAAATTAAATGGAAAAGGCGCATATAAAACATGCTCATTCATTTGTTTGGCCGTTGTGTGTGATCTATTGGAATTAGTTGCGTATGTTGTTTTCGTCATCATCATCATCAATGTCACTGAATGCCATGAACAAGTACTAAAATGGGTTTTTCGACGCGAATTATTACACACACACACAAACTGATTCAGCTACGATGCCGAGTTTATTGTACGCATTCGCTCATCGACAGAGTCACATTTCAATAGCTACTTTATACGGGTTGAACGTATTTACAAAGAAAAATGCGTGTAAAATTCGAATTTACAAATAATCTGTATTTAGATCGGGAGCCTTTGATAAAATTATTGCTTTTAAAGAAAATTATTTTGACTTTACGATGGCTCACCAAAAACCATGTCAATCGGCCATTTGTTTTTATATATCCAACTTAGTGCTTATTTTTACGCTCGAAATGCAGAACCTTTGACGTTCGCTTCATCAAAGCTGTACACTTCTTATCATCCGGTTTTTTTTTTTCTTTGAAAACTGCAAAATATGATTTTCGGTGTGCACTCCTTTTTTTCTCTCCTTCGGCGAACAGAGCAATAACTCAGCATCATAAAAAAAAATGTGCAAAACGATCAAAAAACGAATGTTGATTTTTTTAGGTCTGATCGCATCACGAATGGTTGTGTATATGCTATACATTTTGGGTAAAAGTAGCGAACAACGCCTGCTCAAACAACAGTGTTTCGATTAGGACGATCTCATTTTTTTTCATACCGAAATATTGCTGTGCTTGAAATGAGTCATTCACATAGTTTATGATGCGCGACGTAAGATATTTTGCCACCCGCCACTACATTTATTCCAAAATTGTTTATTCGTTTGGTATAGTGTTTATTTATCGATATGAAATTGCTTCGGAGAACATTTATAGTTTTTTTTTTTTTTTTTCGTTACATTTTAGTCATGCGCTGTTTTTTCCACAATTACCAAACAAACACAATACTCAATGAATCATTTGGCGAGAATTTGCATTGAAAAAAATAAAATAAAAATTAACTATCAACAATCATTTGGGTATCGAAGTGAAAACAGAAAAATGTAAGTATTTAATGAATATGCGTGTGGCATAAGCGATTTTAGGGTATAAGTATGTGTGAGTGTGTGTGTCTCTCTCAGAATAAAAGATAACGAAATGCAAAAAAATGTCCACATTCATCAATATTCAAAACGTATCGGCTCGGTGATTCTTCCATGGAATTTCGAATTTCAAATGCCATTCAATAGTTTCAATTGTGTATTGGCATTTTTGTTACTTATTCAAAATTCTAAACGGATTGTTGTCTTTTATGACTACATCCATAAAAAGGTGAAATACAAATGTTAACATGGAAATATGTGGAAAATGGCTTCTTTTGGTGTGACTTTGATTTCGACATTTATGGAGATTTCTGTAAAAAAAAGACAAAATTTCAAATGACACAAAAATCGATTTGATCCAGAAATGCGCGCGTCACGTTATTTCATTGTTTCTTAATCTCAATCACATTGGCATTTATACGCTGCAACCGAATATTTGGTTTCATAAAGTGAAACTGGATAATCTTTGACCTCTCGATTCATTTTCTAATAGCGTACAGCAATCGCATTAAAAATGATTGCGGTTTAAGAATATATGCGTTTCGAATCTTACTTGATTGCCTTGCAGTCATGAAAATCATCTTTTCTCCTGCACATAAACTCATCTCATTTTGATTGAGCATTTTCTGCATATGTTTTCAGTGTTTATGCATTCCAAAATGAAATGCGATCTATTGTTATAATTTACAAACCACGATGCATCCATGAAAGCGAAGATCGTTTAAGCTCACAAATGTAGGTACACAATAACAAAGAATGCAAACAATCTGCAATTCATATTTGATGTGATGGGATATGTTTAAACGAATGCGAGAGAGAGAGAGAGAGAAGTACACTGGATTGTGTTTTGTGCACAATTGAAATGTGAAAAACGTGTGTGCGTGCAAATAGAGTAACATTTGATGACTATATGATGAGAGCGGCTCATACCATGCATAATGTCTTATGTTGTTGCTGCTGATGCTGCCGGCTAGTATTGTACAACAATACAGAATATTGCCCATTTAATATAAATGTGGCATTGTTGTGACGACGACTGCAACGGCGGTGGCATAGACAAACAACAAACAAAAAATACACAAATTTAGAATAAATGCAAATGATTGCATGTTAAATCTGAAAAGAAACAATAATTCTAATAATGCAGCCATTTGATGCACTCAATACGTGCGATTGAAAGACCAACGAAAGACAAATAAACCAGACACACACACATTCGCGCATGCATCAAATCGATAGGCTTGGAATATACATTTGCCATCAATGTACACAAGTGCATCGAATCATCTTGAACAATTTTCTGCTGTTCTTCATTGCCGTTCTCTCTGTCGTCGTCGTCGTTGTTGATCTCTCGCGTGATTCTAGTCGCACGACACACGCAAGATCAACGATTGACTTTTTGTTCCTATTTTTTCTTACTCTCTTCTATTTCGATTTCAGTTGCGTCCGTATATTTACATATCATTGCTTTTATGACATCAGTCTTTTAAGAAAGTGATTATGTTTCATGCATAAAATATTTATTAGTACAAAACGATTACATGTTTGCGTTGTTTCGCCTTCTCTTTTTTATTCTGGTGTTTTTCTTTTGACATTTTCAATTTCAATGGATTCTTATTCTTAAGCCATTCATTTTTATTTCAAAAATATATTGTTGCTTGAGATCGATGCTGGAACGAATTTTTTGTGCTGGGCGTTAAATTGAAAGTTCGTCAACATTATTTGACTAGATTTTATCCATCATCATTGAGTCGATTCTAGGTTTTTATGATTCTCTCACAATTCGATTTAATTTTTTGAACATCAGTTTTTTCTTGATAATGCTGCGAATTTAAATAGTCCAACGAATCAAGTGATAAGGAATGTGACAAACCAAAGGTGTGCTTTTTG